AAGAACATGACTCTCACAGTGCTGTCTGACTTTTCTAGATGACAGTGAGTTTGCTGAAGCAGGTGTATGATGGCATCTTGAACTCCAAGTCCACGCTGATAAGCAAACTGCAGTGGGTCCTGATATGTGCTTGTTTGTTTAGTCAGGTGGGTCAGCAGAAGTCTCTCTAAGACCTTCATGATGTGGGATGTCAGGGCAACAGGTCTATAGTCATTGAGGACCAATGGGTAAGTTTTCTTTGGTACTGGAACAAGACAGGATTTTTTTCCACAGCACTGGAAACTTCTCCTGGATCAGGCTAAGGTTGAAGAGGTGCTGCAGAACCCCACAGAGATGCTCTGCACAGATCTTCAGGACTCTGGGACTCAGCTGACAACCATGAGAAAAGCAAACAGGCCTACATAAATGTCCAATTTGTGAAATATTCAGAAAAAGAGACAAATCAATACATCTTCCAGTTAAAGACTATTTAACACGGTCAGAGCTACATCACAAGATCAGTGCCTTTAGTAATAATAGTAGCCTAAAATTACTTTCCCATGTAGTAGCTAAGGTTTAGAATAATTTTAATCTTTAAGTCAAGTCAAGTCAACTTTATTTATAAAGCACATTTAAAACAGAAACTGTTATCAAAGTGCTTAACAACATATAAAACTAATAATTTCAGCTGAAAATCAAATATGTGGTTCTAAGCAGCTAAACAGAGTGTGAACAGAGTTCTTATTAATTAATAGTAAGTTTATCTTGCAACAGGCTATAATCTACATAACAAGACACCTTTCAAGCTCCAAGAGATGACAGCTGCATACCTTTTAACTTTGTTAGTTTCTCCTTCAGTGATGTCAGTAACACGTTACTGACACCTGAAAGTGGAACAAACCTGGTTTTGGACCAGTTTGACATGATTGTCAACGAGGGAGAGGGCCGGCACCGGAGGAGGGGGCGTGACACAGACACCATCTTAGCACTAACATAACTGGTTTGTTCCACTTTGGAGTAAGCTGTTGGGGGAAGAATCAGTTTTGTGTTGTGTGTTTCCTTGACTGATGAAGCCTTCTGGATGGAAGGTGAAAGGTTTGAGCACAAAAAAAGAAACTGTCCAGATGACCTGACTGAAAATTGTTGGATTGTATACCTGGATTATTGAGCATGGACTTTGTTGACTTAATGTAAACTTTTCATCTTGAAATTAAACCTTTCGCCCTATTTTTTTCACCAATTAGTGATTTTTAACGAACATTTTTTAAGTTTAAGCAGGATGTTATAACTCATACATTTCTGTATAAAAATATAAAAAGAGATGGAAGTTGTCTGACCTCCAGGGGGTCCGTCAGGACCAAAAGCATAGCACTCGGAGCATGAGAATGGGATGACTCTCAGCTTCCACACCACATTTAAATTTAGTTTCTGTAAAACTAAATGTGATAGTTTCCTGAAGTTGGTTAGTTGTTGCCATCTTAAATCAGGATGACTCAAAAAAATGAATACAATGAATATTTTCTGAGAAATTTAACAATCCATTCACTTGTTCATGAGATATTTTACTAACAAACAAACTCAAACATAAGCAATTGTTGATCAAGATAAAAGTAATCACTATTCAATAATAAATTACACAAACAAACAATAAATATGACACTAATTAAATGTCTTCCTTGCAAGTTTGAAAAGAAACTGACATTAATTAATTCTTTTGAGAAACATTGATTTTGTTTTATTGTTTCGCAACATGCCTGTTAAAGAGCTATTCAGCGACTTTATATCAATATTTTAATTTATCAATAAAGTCCGAATCTATACAATAAATGTCTATTGTTTTATTACTAAACTGTTTTAAGTTTGAACAACTTTTCAAAGTGTAACTGATCAACAGCACCCCTTAGTGGAAACTTTAATTGTCACAAAACTGTAACGACAGGTTGGGTTCAAAACAAATGCTGCAAAACTCAATAACAACAAATACTTGCTTAAATTTTATTATATTTGTATTTAAAAAGATAAACTGTGGATAAAAAAAAGTATTCTTTGTTTTCTTTCCTGCGTTCCTGTAAAACTTTGCAGTTTAACGGACGTTTCCAGGTTGGAGACAAAAAATTTTTTTATGTTACCAAGATGAAATTAATAAACAAGGACAGTTCCGGTTTCATTTATTTCAAAATATTTATTCATGTTTAAACAATAAAAATCAAATGTGGCAGCAGGAATGTGCCTCTCCACACTGTTGTTAACATTTCCTATAGTAATAAAACATATAAAGTAATAATAGTAGTAGTAGTAGTACTAAAACTGGGGGAAGGGGTGTAATGTAAGTGAGCGTGCGTATGTTTGTGCCTGAATTAAAGAGGATGACACTTGAGCGGATTTTCACTCCTGTCCTGTCCTGGTCCCACAGAAAAAAAATCCTGTCCTGTCCCAATCCTGGTCCATGAACATGTGCATACAGTGGTGCTTGAAAGTTTGTGAAGCCTTTAGATTTTTCTATATTTCTGCATATAAGACCTTAAACATCAGATTTTCAAACAAGTCCTAAAAGTAGATAAAGAGAACCCAGTTAAATAAATGAGACAAAAATATTATACTTGGCCATTTGTTTATTGAGGAAAAATATCCAATATTACATATTTGTGAGTAGTAAAAGTATGTGAACCTTTTGGATTAGCATCAATTTGAAGGTGAAATTAGTCAGCTGTTTTCAATCAGTAGGATGATGATCAGGTTTGAGCGGGCACCCTGTTTGATTTAAAGAACAGGGATCTATCCATGGGCAGCACGTTGGCGCAACTGGTAGAGCTGCTGCCTCTCAGCGAGCAGGTCCCTGGTTCAAACCCCGGTCCAGGGGCCTTTCTGGGTGGAGTTTGCATGTTCTCTCTGTGCATGCGTGGGTTTTCTCCGGGTACTCCGGTTTCCTCCCACATACCAAAAACATGCATGTTAGACTGATTTGTAACTAAATTGTCCCTAGGTGTGAGTGAGAGAGTGAATGGTTGTTTGTCTCGTTTGTCTCTGTGTGGTCCTGTGATGGACTTGCGACCCGTCCAGGGTGTACCCCGCCCCTCGCACAGTGATTGCTGGACATGGGCACCAGCGACCCCCGTGACCCAAAATGGAATAAACGGGTAAAAGAAAATGGATGGATGGATGGATGGATGGATGGATGGATGGATGGATGGATGGATGGATGGATGAAAGACTTTAGCTGTAGGCTAAAAGCGCCACCTACCGCACTTGAAGGAGTTATGGGGATTCAACCGTTCTCCTGGTTCTGAACTAGGGTTAGCTTTCCATCCAGCCTGGTCAGCTCAGCAATAGACATGGAAACAGGAACCTGGCCTGTGTGAAGCAGAAAATCATTAACCCTTAGTTTTATCAATCTCAAAAACCATGATAAGCAATACACGTACATGTTTTATCATCATTACTATAGTAATATAAGTTCATAATATAAATAGAATCAAGCTCATTATTTGAGTACTCCTAAATATTCCTAATATTAAAGGTCCTAACATTGCACTGGTCCTTAGCACACAATATATCAATAGCATCTCACCATCTCAATGCACTGTACCTTCAGTTTAAATGCTTCAGTGTTAACATTAGGAACTATTTACTTATTGCAAGATGCCTTGTTTTTCATTATCCAGCTCAATACAAATACAGGTGTTCAGAAAAAGTAATATCATCAGAGACATTTAGTACAGAAAAGTATTAATGTTTGATAATTATATTTTCTATAAGCACATTTAAATAAATGTAGCAATAGCACTGATTTATCACAGAGCTCAATACAATAATCTGGAGACTAGCACTAGCATGCTAGCTCCAGAAACAACCAAACGAACTCACCAGTTCCCACTTTTAGAAGACACAGTCAGCTGAAAGTTTTTTCACAGAGACATCTAAAAGTTGAGAGGCATATCAGTCAGAAATGGCAACATAGGCATTAGATAAAGGGCTTACAATGACTTAAAGCCTACCTGCAGCAGCTAGCCTCTCACACATAGTCTGGTTGTTTTCACTGCACGATCTGTTCCGGAAGCACAATCCGTACCGTGCATTCAGCTCTGGGCGCAGGAAAGGTGCGCCCAGAATGGTCCTATACCTACTATTGAAGAGGAGTTAACTGTGCATGTACGACTTTTAGCGAGAGTCTATGGGCAAAGATTTTTGCACCAAAGGGCAGATATACGTCACCAATCAGACAAAGTCGTTGAATGAAACAACTTTACTCATCATTAATTATAAAATATTTATCTTACACATCTAAAAAGATATATACATATATTTTGAAATATTTTTATTTTATTATTTCATTTTTATTTAAATTTTTTAAATGTCTTATTCAAAGTAATCTGGTGAGTGTTGGGGCAGCGCCCTGGCACCCTCTATTGGTCAGCCGCTTTTGCTTAATGGTGATTCCTTTTAAATTCAAATTATTACAAAGACCAAATACCACTACTGCAATGGAGTTTTTCATAACACTGTCAAAAAAAAAAAAAGAAAGAAAGAAAAAAAAGAAGTCCATTGTCCAACTCAGATGATTTTGCTTTATAGCATATATGAGTGAATGAGGAAGGGTGACACGTGCTCCTCACTTTACTACACTTTTATTAACTGTTTTGCACTTGCATTAAAGCAGGTCAGTTTACTGACAGCAACTTAATTAATGAATTCACCCTTTGATAATCAGAACTCAGTACTTGAAGGAATTCTATAACAAATGAATATTCACCTAAAAGAGGAGACAAAATTTGTGTTTGAAGTTATATTACAATAATAATGAATTAGACTAAGAATCATCAACAATAATAAAATTGAACAACACAAATAATAATTTGGAGCAAAAATTGTTTGAATAGTAGTAAATCAACAATGAAAAATAAAAACAATAATTTATCAATCAAGGATTAATTCTCTTTTATCGAAGGCAAAATTAACGCTGGCCTCAGTGTTGCTCGTCCCCGCGCCGCCGGGAGCGCGCAGGACCCGTCCCTTCAGAAGCAGTAGCGCGAGCGCCGCATCCATCCTGCTGTGGGGAGCAGCGAAGAGGAGCGCACGCACACAGAGCCACGGAACATGGACGGAGTGGGTTCGTTCGGAGCCGGCCGAACCGGGTCCACCGTCGACCCGCTTACATTCGCCAAACAGCCGCAGACCATCCTGAGAGTGCTGTCCTGGGTGAGAGAGACGCTCTTATTTCTGCTCCTGTGCGTGTGAGTTTGCGCGCGGGGAACCAGTGACCCGCTGTCCCTGCTGTAAAAATAGACACTAAATAAATGAGATTATCATCAACGGGTTGTCAAAGGCAAAACGACGGCGAGTTTGATGTAAATGAGAGAGATGTCCTGCTGGGTGTTACCAGGCCTGCTGCCTGTCTCTCATCACGGAACTGCTTCCACCACACAGATGTTTTCCTGGACCGGAACCGAACCGTCACCGCTCATTAGCAGTTAGCCTCTTTTCAGGTTACACATCGCCTTATTTAAACACAACGGTTCGGCAGACCGGACCCGGTTAAACACAGACCTAGGCTAATTATTGACCACTTTCATCACTATGTTCGTCCAGCTGTTATCATTTGTGTCGGTTATTGTCATTTGCTACATTTTTTTATTCATATTTATCTCCTAACCAGGTTTTAGCTGATGGTTTCACTGATTTACCCTACACGGTGGTCGCTCGTCATCTCACCTGTGATTGGTCGGTCCGTCGTTACGCACGCAGGGCCACGCGCCGACTTACGTCGTGTTGTGACGTCCGGGTCCACAGAGAAGCTCTCACTCAGCAGAGCAGGGATTTATGAAACGAACCAACAGTTCACTTCATAGTAATGCATCTGTTTTACTATATGAACAGATCTATGTATTATCAGCAAAGTATTCTGTCAATTCATAAAGTACTTGCCAAAACAGAATAATAATTAATTTATAATAATATAAGAGAATAGATCAGCTGATTGCAGCGATGCTTCAGGCTATAACATTTAGGTGCATACCAGAGGACAACAATGGTTTCTGACCAATTAAATGCCCTTACAGGGTTGTTTGATGAAATTAAACTCTAGATCAGGGATTCCCAAACGTTTTTTATTACCTTTTGACCCCCCAAAATATAAAAAAACTTATGAACAAAGACTTGCAACCTTAAATACCTTTGGTTGAACTACACAAATGTCAGTAAACTATAAATTAATAAATAAAAGAGAGCATAATAACGCAGATAGATTAAACGTATTATACTGTGTGGTTTTTTTCTTTTCTCTTATGATTATTGTTGTTGTCTTGTAAATAGCTGGTAGGAATTACTTTTTTTATATTTGATTTGATTTGGTTTCTGTAGATTGTCCCAGGACCTCCACCTGGCGTTTCGTGACCCACAGTGAGGTCCCAGTCCCATCTATGGGAACCACTGATCTAAACAACACTGGGCAGGTGGTTTTTATTGTCGTGACTGATTACACTAAAACTTGTCTGTTTGTATTTAGATCCAGAGTTATCCAAACTATTTTTTAAAGTTGTAGTTCAGATCTTTTGAAGTCAGAATTTGTGGGAATATTATGAACAAATAATATCTTACCTGCTGTTGATAGGTCTTTAAACGGACACAGTTTGGAGAAAGACTTTGATTCTGACCGGGTTGATGATTCAATGCATGGCCAACACTAACACGGATCGCTGACATTTGAAAACGACTCCATTCACACCTTTTATAGTCTGAGACACTTTCTGTAAAATATAATATTTTTGCTTGAATAATACAAAATTAATGGGAATTTAAATAAAGTTTAAATGAACTGGGATGAAATTATTAACACTGGAGCTGTTTTAAGGCAGTTGCTCTTTTCTTTGGTCTTGGCTTTTGGTCAAAACTGATCTCCGTTTCTCCAAAACCGAAGTCATTCAAATTGTCATCAGCAACAGATAAGACAATAACTGTTAATACACTTTCAACAAAACCCCACTTGAGACAGATCTTAACGATTGGCGCAGCTGTGGTTGAGTGGTTAGAGCGGTCGTCCTCCCAACAGGAGAGCTGAGGGTTCGATTCCACCAGCAGTCACATACTGAAGTGGCAAGACACTGACCCCCTCATAGCCTCTGATGTGTGTCTTGTAGAAATGTGATCTAAAGCGCTGATTTGTCTCCATAGATTCAGATTATCTTTGCAGAGATGTAGCAGAGTGCTGTATGAATGTGTGTGTGGAGGTAAATGAGGACACAGATTGTGTTGTAAAGAGCTTTGAGCATCATGATTAGGTAAAAAGGCGCTATGTAAGTATAGTCCATTTACCATTTATTGTTTTAACATACAAAATAACATTTTTAATTTGTGTAAGCCTTTAAATCACAACTACATAAATTCAATGCAATACATGTTCATGACAGTTACTCTCGTTTATTGTAATAATATTTAAATTAAGTAGGGATGCACGATATTGGATTTTTGGCTGATATCTGATATGCCGATATGTTAAAATTTATTTGGCCGATAACCAATATTTTTCCCCCTAGACCTACTTACAGAGACTACAGCTTCTCTGCTGTGGAATTAACCAGATGCCAAAAAGGGGACTGAAAATGATGCAACACTTCAACTTGGATTATGTTTAATGTCACATTTATTCATGACATTTACTCTCTCCAACACAGTGACAACACTTGAACTGTGCAAATTTGTAAATTTTCACATATCTAAACTCAACAGCGCACGTGACGTCATAACATTGTGCTGGCGCTGCAGACATCCTTGTCACTGGGTTGTCATACAAAAAACGCGTCTTTCATATATATGTGAGTTATTCTGATGGAATGGCCGATGTCGGATATTTAAATTATTCTCTAATATCGTCCGATACCATGCCGATAATATCGTGCATCCCTAAAATTAAGTCATTGTCTCAAGACAACAGAACTTGCTTTCTCAAAGTAACATGTTAAATTATTGTGACCAGAAAAGTTTGTTTGTTTTTGTGAAAACTAGGAATTATTTCAAACGCACAAAAAAACAGGTTATTTTTTTTTGTCAGAGATGCGAATAGTTGCGCTGATATAAGGTGAAAATATCATATCAAGGAACAAACAGAGTAACACGTGCATGACTTGATTTCCTGTTTCAGATCATCCTAAAGTGTCACAGCAGCAATACTGAACACTACAATTGACTGGGACACAATAACTCTCATTTGTTGCAGCATAATCGGCTCATGATCATGAGAAAATCAAAAACCGATTATTCCTGATAAGATAAAACGGGTTTGATCATCTTGATATTCAAAGTAGTTGATTTGTGATTGTCAAACACAACCTTTTGCTTCAATAATGACCTTTACGTTGCATCACTCATCCATCCTTGTTATTTATTGCACTTTTGAATTTTTTTGGAAACATAGGACAGTAATTGTTGCCATTTTGCGTGTGGAATCTGTGTTTGTTGTTGCTGAATATAAAACTTGGAACTGTTCAACTCGTGGTGCTCATTCAATCAGAGTCTGAGCTGGACAACAAGCACACCGGTTTAGTGAGCCCGACCCATGTCCAAGAAGCCATGTTCTTAGTCCTGCAGAACGAGGTCGGACATTGTCCTGCTGACATAATAACACACTTCTAGTTCTTGTCCATCCTTGTGTCCAAAATACTCGTCTGAACGTGTCAAAGCTTTTGCACATTTAACAGTCGTGTCTGGCCTTTGTCTTGCATTTATTTTCAGTACCTACTCCATCCTTTTCAGGTTAGGCCAGCAGTCAGGTACACCCAGGACAGGGCAATGCAGAGGCACACAACCACTCACACTAGGACTGCACAGTAATAGGAAACCATTTAATTACTATAATATTGTTGAATATTGCAATGACAACATCATTTGTGGTAAACGCATGTGTTCTGTCATCACGATGCTTTCTCGGTGTGCTATGGGCATTTAGGGAAGTGGGTTCCACCTGACTGACAAATTACCGGACTTTCCGCTGTACACGTCGCACCGCCATAAAAGCTGCATCAGTCCCAATACAGGTATGTCTAATAAAGTGGGAAAAAACATAAATAAGTCGCTTCGCTGTATAAGTCGCATCTATTATGTGTCACTGCTGACGACCTGGAAACGTGGGCCAGTGTGCCAAAAATCGATTGGCTGCCAATTGGCGGGTGCGTGTGCAGGAGAACATTTATTCGAAATGCAACAAGACAACCGGCGACATGCTGCTGATTTCACGTTTGCTCCAGGAGTTCCAGAGCGAGACGACGGTGGCCTCTGTACAAGCCAAGTGTCTCATTAATAGCCACTTTTACCTATTAATGAGACACTTGGCTTGCCATAATAGTCGAGGGCCCTGTAGCGGCTGCAAATGGTAATGTTTAATATTTTTCATGTCAGAATGAATGAAATGGTCAGATCACAGCCAAAAATTGGGTTATACTGTAAATATGTGGGAAAAACACATATATTAGTCGCTGCGGTGTATAAGTCGCAGGACATGCAAATTTATGCAAAAAGGTGTGACTTATGTGGCAAAACATACGGTAGTCTTTCTGGATGTATTGTAATTCTTTTTAGTACTGACATTGCACAAACTTCTATTGTACTGGCAGCCATTTTTAAATACTGTGCAGCTCAAATTCACACATAAGGTCAGCTTACAGTCCCTTATTGACCTAATGTGCAGCTTTTTAGATAGTTGGAGGAAACTGGAGTCACCAGAGAAACACCCACTCATTCATAAGAGGGAACGTGAAAACTGTTCACACAAAAAGACCCCAGCTGGGTGTCGAACCTGCAACCTTTCTAATACAAAACAACGTGCTTGACTGTTACGAAGTCTGGCACCAAAAACTGTCATCATGAGCTGACTGACACTTTTTGACAGATTCAATAATTACGGATTTTTGTTACATTTTTTAAATAAGTACATTTAAAAACAATAGACTTGTAGGGGAAATGGTGAAGTTTAAAAGTGTCTTTTATGAGATTATGTAAAAGAAATTAGATTAAATTCCTTTGTTCTCACACAGGGATGCTGCTCAGTGATGCTTGATCACATTGTGTCTGTGTGCGTGCATGCGTGCATGTGTGCATGTGTGTTCAGATCATATCAACTCGTGCTTAGTTTTGAATGTTGGCCTGACATTATCCCATTTTGTCTCCTTCCTTCATCATATGACCCAGACCCCCCAAGTACAAGTATGTGTGTCTGTGTCACATGGTCTCCTTCTGCCACTGAAGGTTAGTCAGCTGATTACTGTCCACGTGGAAGGCCTGAACGAGGAGTAAAGACTGAACATTTAAACCAAAAAATAGGCTTTTATTCTTAAAAATTTAAACCGTTACGTTAAGAAGAACCGTGAAGCTGTAGCTACAATAAAGTTTTGGTGTGTGTGCACAATTCAAGAGTGTTTCATTACCGAGAGGAAGTGAAGCATCACACCTCTGGTCAGGCAGAGCTGAGATCAGTTTTTGGTCTGAGTTTTCTCAAAGCGTCATTTGGCCACAATCGACTGCGCCTGCAACAATTACTCTGCTTAATCGAGACTGAAAGAAAGAAGAGAAACTCAGTCCAACGATGATTTAGACTAGTTGGGATTTTCTACAAATCAATCAACCTTTATTTAGACAGGTAAATCCCATTGAGCCTTGAGGACTCATTTACAAGAGAGACCTGATTTCAACAAAGAAAGATGACAACAATGGACAACAGCAACAACAATAAACAGTTGTAAAAAAAAAACATGCTACAGTTTTTTTTTTTAACAAATAGGATGGCTAAAAGGAAAAGGTAACAAAACAAAAAACAGCTAGATTCCAAGACAAATGTAGAAAACTAACAACAGGAACATGTCAGCATTGGACCCTGCCAGGTGTCCAACAGATTCTTAAAGACACTTAGAGAGGTCAAGGTCGAGAGCTTCAAATCTTTTTGTAAGATGTTCCAGGAAACAGGAGCGGAATAGGAGAAGGCCCTTTTGCCTAGTTCAGTCCTCACTGAGGGAACACTGCAGGTAATAATGTCCTGAGAGCGCACTCCGTAGCTGCACTCACGCAGAGACATGTAGGAGGAGATGTATGAAGGCAGCAGACCAAGAAGTGATTTAAAGATGAAAATGTACCAGTGAGAGAGTCTGCGTGAAGTTAATGATGTCCAGTTAACCAGTGAATACAGGGTGCAGTGGTGGGTACGATAATCACAGCCAGTTATGAATCTTAGTGCAGCATGATAGACAGCATCCAACATCTGCAGGGTTCTTGTAGGAGCGTTCATGTAAATAATATCACCAAAATCAATTGAGGGAAGGAAAGTCACAGATACAAGGCGTTTTCTAGCATTCAGAGTTAGACAGGATTTGTTTCTGAAAAAGAAACCCAGTTTAACTTTCAGTTTCTTTACCAAGTTTTCCACATGAAGCTTAAAAGAGAGATGTGAGTCGACCAAGATACCCAAATATTTATAGGAATCAACAAACTCAATGGGGACACCATTTGAGGATAAAATCGGAGGAAGAACTGCTGGGACCAACTTCCTATTTGAAAAAAGCATCTCTTTGGTTTTGTCGGCATTTAGGACAAGTTTGAGGCGGAACAAATCTGTCTGGATGATGTTGAATGCAGATTTCAAAAGCTGGAAAGCCTTAGCAACTGTTTTAGCTTGACAATAAACAACTGTGTCATCAGCATAGAAATGTATGGATGCATTAGGGATGTTTTTACCTACATTATTTATGTAGATTGTAAAGAGGGTAGGTCCTAAGACTGAGCCTTGTGGTACACCATTGTTGACTGTTAAATAACTGGAGGAAGTACCATTATGTTGAACACATTGCCTCCGGTCTGAAAGATAGTTAGAGAACCAACCAATGGTGTGATCTGAGAAACCAATTTCTGAGAGTTTATGACACAAGATGTTATGATCCACAGTGTCAAAAGCTTTAGACAGATCTAAGAAAAGTGCAGCACAATAATCCTTAGCATCCAGTGCTTCAATGATGTCATTAAGAACCTTCAGTGAAGCAGTGGTTGTGCTGTGTTGCTTCCTGAAACCAGATTGATGTGGAGGTAAGATGTTAAATGAGTCCAGGTAATCTTTGATTTGAGAGTTTATCAGTTTTTCTAGAACCTTGGCTAAAATACAGAGTTTAGAGATTGGCTGATGGTTGTTCAGTGAGGTGGGGTCTCCTCCCTTCAGCAAAGGAAGAACAAAGGCTGTTTTCCAAGTGTCTGGGATGGAGTTTTGTCTTATGGAGAGATTGAAGATGTGGGTCACAGGGACTGTGATGATATGAGCAGCCAGCCTTAAGAAATAAGGTGGAAGTTCATCTGGTCCTGCAGATTTATTAGGGTCAAGAACTTTTAACAGTTTATTGACCTCACTGACTGAGAATGGAGAAAAAGAGAAGGTGTGTTTAACTGAGGATTGACTTGTAGGAGGGATTTGATTTGTAGAAGTTTGGTTATTAAGTGAAGTGACTGATTTTCCATTAGTAACTGTGTCAAATAAAGAACCAGAAGCAACAAAATGTTTGTTGAAACAGTTCAGGATCTCGTGCTTATTTGACACAGGAACAGAGTTAACGAGAAGTTGTGATGGGAGGTCAGATGATTGGGGGTGCCTGAGAGAGATTTGATGGTTTTCCAGAATCTGTTAGGGTCATTTAGATTTTTGGAGGTCTGAGATAAGAAATAGTTGCGTTTTGCTGCTTTAACAGCAGTTGTGCATTTATTCCTCATCTGTCGAAAACTCAACCAATCAGTGTCTGAGCCAGATTTTCTCGCTGCAGCCCAAATGCAAGCATTAACAAATTTTATAAACCCATATTTAATTTGAAAAGGAACATAGTAAACATTTCAAATGTTTAAATGAAGAGGAAAAAATTACTATTTGTAGGAAAACATAAGGTAAGTTTGAATTTAATGACAGTAACCCAACTCAAAATCGTTGCTACAGGGCCACGTTTCCCACTGGGACTCTAATCTTTTAACATCAGTTTGTAAACCTTTAGCATCAAGGAGACCAGCTGCTGGGAGATTTTGGAGGAGAATGTTGTCCCATTCTTGTCTAATGGAGGATTATAGTGGTTCAACAGTCCTGAGTCTTAGTGTTTCATGATGCACCAAATACATTCATTTGGTGAGAAGTCTGAACTGCAGGCAGACCCTCCTGCCATGCTGTTGCAATGGATGAGGTTTACCACTGGCTTTCTGAAATATGCACAATTCTAAAACCAGTACAGTAGTCCTTCGTTTATCGCTGGGTTTAGGGTCCATGCCACCTGCGATGTGAAAAATCACCAAGTAGGGATAGTAGTACAAGTAGTAGTAGTAAGTAGTAGTTTATTATATATATAAAGGCTTTATAAACCCTGCCCACACTCTTGCAATATTCTAAACAATGTTTCTAAACTCTAAACGCTCTAAAAGAGCACATGTCATGCTCTCCGCTCTCTGCCACGCCCACTTCTCTGCTGCAGTCACACTCATCACCTGCTCCCAATCTCACGCCTTCTGTGTAAATTAACAATTTAAATTTAGATACTGTCATATTTTCAATAAACAACATTGTTTATTTAAAATGTTACAGTATTTGAATTTAAATTGTAGAGAAGAGAAGCGCCGCAGGACATCAAAGCGTTAACCCTTCACGCAGCTTCAGCTCTGCAGCGCGGAGCAGAAATGTACTTCTTGATCAGTTACACTGAAACAACTGAACATAGAGGTTCTAAAATAATTAAAAATAACATTTAACAATTTTATAGTTTGTGATCATGGCGATTTGACGATGTGACATACTTTGAATTTTAAGTTGGAAGACAAAAGTTGATCGGTGCATCCGGGTTATTAACCCTTCACAAAGCTGATGCAGCCGGAGCAGAAATGTGGGCGGGGCAGAGAGAGCGCATGACACAACAGGAGGTGCTAAATCATTTATATATATATATATATATATATATATATATATATATATATATATATATGTATGTATGTATGTATGTATGTATAGTAGTATATAATGTACTATTCTCAAGATTCTTCAAATTGTTTGATCAAATTGTGAACTATAGATGATATTTCTTCCTAACTTTCCCTGAGGAACTTTATTCTGAAATTGTTCTGTTGTTTTTAAACATAGTACTTAGTGCCCCCTAAGTTATGGAACGCTCTGTCTTTGCACGTTCGACAGGCCCCTTCACTGTCCATTTTTAAAACCTGTCTGAAAACTCATTTTCTACTCAATGGCCTTCAACCCAATTGAGACTTGATTTCACTTCATTTTTATTGGTATTGATTTTATCTATTTAACTCGTCCTTTTATTGTATTTTGAAATGTGTGATTAGCTTTGTAACTTTCTTTTTATGCTTTCTTTAATCTTATTTATTACTGATGTTCAGCACTTTGTTTCAGCAGCTGTGGCTGGTGTTAAAGCGCTTTATAAATAAAGTTGATGATTATATTTTTTGCATTCTTAGCTGCCCATACCACAGGCCCTAATGCATCCCCATACCATCAGTGAGGCTTATAAGCATTTATCCTGCCTTTTAATCTCTTTTCACTTTAGTTTAGTTTAGGACTTGTCATTCATGCTTTCTAATGGGAATTTTGCATTTGCATTCATCTGATCAAAGAACTGTTTTCCATTTTGCCTCATCCATTTAAAGTGAGCTTTGACAAGAAGAGGATGGTGGCATTTCTGTTTGGTGTCCATATTTGGCTGTTATGCGTGATAGAGCTTTAACTTGGATTTGTGAATGGCACATGGAGCTGTGTTTGCAGAATGATTGTGGAAGTGTTCCTGAGTCCATGCAGGGATGTTCATAACAGAACTGGACGTGTTCTTAATGCGGCGCTGCCTGAGCGTCCAACAGCTTTTAAATATTGACTTTCATCTTTGAGCTCAGCGAATCCTCCAGATTCTTCTAATCTTTTGATCAAATTGTGAACTAGAGATGATATTTCTTCCCAGCTTTCCTTCAGGAACTTTATTCTGAAATTGTTCTGTTATTTTCAAACATAGTTTTTCTCAAACTGGTGAACCTCTGCCCATCTTTACTTTGACTTCATTTCTCTTCTTCCCATCCACAGATATTTTCCCTGGTCGTCTTCGCCTCCATCGTGAACGAAGGTTATGTTAACATGGGCAGCCAGCGCCTTCACTGCGTCTTCAACCAAAACGCAGATGCATGTAACTACGGCGTGTTCGTGGGCCTGGTGGGCCTGCTGGCGTGCTCCTTCTTCTTCCTCCTCGACTACAAGTTCTCCTCCATCAGCTCCGTTAAAGACAGAAAGAAGGCCGTGATGCTAGAAATTGGCTTCTCAGGTGTGGCAGAAGAAAATGCTGTTAAAATCATTAATGCACAATTACAATTAAAGGCAGCAATGATATGTGTCAAGTTTCTACGTCATGATATAGAAGTAGAAGTGAGCACTCAAAGGTTGTTGTTCCCAAGAATATCAAACGTTTGGCCTGACTGGGCTTGATCTTTGTTTCAGATGATAGTTTTCTCACAGAACACTGTATCAGGAGAAATGAAACTAAAACTTGGCGACAACTGTTGGAGAAATGAGATCATTTTAATTTTCTAAAAGAAACATTCAGGCTTCAAGCAAGAAGGATTTCAGAATATTTCACCCACAGCTTCTTGTGTTTATTCACCTCAGATGAGTTAAGTTGGAAATAACTGTTCGTTTGTTTTGCAGGTTTCTGGGCCTTTCTGTACTTCGTAAGTTTCTGCTTTCTGGCCAATCAGTGGTCCCGAACTAAAACAGAAGATCTGCCCCTCAACCAGGGAGCGGACGCAGCTCGGGCAGCGATCGCCTTCTCTTTCTTCTCTATTATCACCTGGGTAAGAATTAGGGATGCACCGATCCGCTTTTTTTCACTACCGGTATCCGAGGTTTTGTATCCGTCTATACTGATCCGATACAGAAGAACTGTGCTGAGTTACTGTAACTTAAAACATTAGGGTTTTTTTTAAACGCAGACATAAATGTACCGGTTTAGAAATTTATTGAAAACTGCACCAGCTTCACAAGCTTGTTCAAACATGTAAAAACTACAACTTTAATTTGTTCAGTCAGTGCAGTTATGAGCATAACATCCAATGTAAAATAAATAATAATAATAAAGAACCTGAAACTGATAATAATAATAGGTTGACAACTTTGGTCAAACATGAAAAAATAAACTTTAACTAACCTTTCCAATGATTCAGGAATTCTAAATATAATGTAAAAAATAAATAATAAAGGAGCTGAAATAAGAGGAAAAACCAGTAACTTCACTATCTTGGTTGGCAGATAATTAAAATGAACAGCAATCAGCTCCTGTCCTTATGGATCGGTCACACTGTCACGATCAAGAATTTTCCGATGCCAATACTAATATCAGTACATCTCTAGTAAGAATATAAAAATCACACAAACGTGCACATACAGTTCAGGTAAAGGCTTTTTGCAACAAAAGGAACAAAAACATGGATTATAAATTGCTGTAACACAAACTTAGTTGGACTGAGAAACCAAAATTAATGTTCAGTTGTGTTTGTAAATGATTATGCTCACCTGAAACAAACCCTGAACCCTCAAAAATCGTTAAAAACAAATATATCTCCCTTGTAATCATCTCTATACAAATATGACAATTAAAGCACTAAATACTTTTTGACTTGAGTAACATTTAAAGAAGTGTTAAAATTAATAGGTTTATAAAGTATCTCATAATTTAATTTCTTCTTTCATATATTCAGTAAGAACAGCTACTGAATTTAAACTGGTTCTCTTGTTCATACTGGGAGTTCAGCAGTTTCCTGCCTGAGGAATCTGACAGAACAATAGATGTAATTTCAACATTGAGTTAGGTCTGTCGCGATAAACAATAAATCAATTAATCACATGATGAATGAAAGTTATGGATCTCATTTTTATTTATCAGCTTTATCGTTTCTTTGTGTCTCTCTTTCTACTGAAGACACTGGATGAAAAAAGGCTCAACTCCGGTGCTCTTCACTGACCCTCCCTTTTTCTTTTCTCTTCAAAATCTGTTTTAACGATCCAAAACCACGTTTTTGGATCGTTAAAAGCAGCTAATCTGAGAAGCTAAGCTACGAGCTAAGATAACAGGCCGACCTCGGGAATAAACCTCCGTCTTATCAAAGCTCCAAAATTCACGGTTGAAACCCGTGCCTTTGTGTAAAAAGTTGTTTTTCTCTGCAAAAAGAATCTGAGAACTTGTTTACTGATTTTTTTAATTCATTTATTTTCATTTAGCCTTTATTTATCCAGGTAGTCTCATTGAGCCACGAGAACTCATTTTCAAGAGAGACCTGTTTAGGGAGCAGATGGGGGTTAAGCGTCTTGCTCATGGGCCCAGAGTGGGGCGAATGAGGGTGGGGGCAGGTGTGGGTGCTTCACCTACCCCACCCACATTTTTGATGTTGTCTGTACCGGGGCTTGAACCGGCGATCTTCCGATCACAGGCCCACCTTCTCTAACCTCTGCGCCACCACTCCCCTAAAAGCCTTGTGTGAAAAATGCCATGCTAAAGAGCTCAAACCACCGAGCGTACTTCATGTCACCATGCCAGCCCATGTCACGTCAAGGCGGGGCCAGTGTTGCCAGGTGAGAAATGTAGGATTATCGTACTAGAGACATAAAATTATCATATTTTGAGCGAAATTATCGTACACCCGTCATAACCAAAATAACAAGTGTGTCGATGCGCTATAGTCACTCCAGTGTTGAATAGCGTCTAACAGGCACTCACAGCTTTGTGGCGTCAGTACAGAATGGATTCATCAGCAGCCCCACAGTTGCGTTAGGCTAATGTGTCCTACATAAACAATGACAGGTGGGAACTAATAAGCCCCCCTTTCATTTGTTCACTCATTTTCATCGTTCTTCTTCCAGACCGGCTCTGCTTCTTCTTTTTTTTATTATTATTATTTTTTTGTCTTTATTGAAAGAAAAAAAAACGTAATGTATCAAGGCATAACAAGAAAAACATGTTCACAGTTGATATGACAAAAAGCGAAGCAGAAATTATGAATAGAAATATAATTAATAAAGAAAATGAAAAATTTGAAGGAACAGCAAAATAAAAGTTACAAAGAGGAGTTTCAAGTCTTAAAATAAGCTATTAGTATACTGGTATAAGGATTGGGCTTTTGGAAGATTGCAGTGTTTAAGCACTTCCTTAAATAAAATTATTTAATTTTTAAAAATGTTGAACATTGTGGTGATTTTCAGGAAATGGCTTTTGTGAATAAAAATTTTTACCATAAGGATTAAGTTGTTATTAATATAATTTAAAACTTCATTTCCTGTTAGCAAATTTAATTATTGTAAAATTTAAAGGTGGGATAGGCTCTGCTGCTTCTTTTTTCTGTTTCTCACTCATGGGGCGGGCGCAGCGGACTATTCAGCCAATCATGGCCGTTGTTCTGAGGCAAACGCATACACGTCACTCGTAGGTCACATTTAGAAAAGCACGATTGGCTGGAAATTTCAGCCAATCGTGAATTTGTTTCCAGACACAGATGCCTTCAGGGTTCACAAAAAAGCTCCAACAGACAGTTGCGACAGGCTGATGACAACCGATTACAACCACACATTCACGGAATGGTCAAATTATCGTATATTTGGCCTTTTTTGGGATCATTGATCGTACATTGTGCAGAGGGCAAAATTGTCGTACAAATATGATAATTATCGTACACCTGGCAACACTGGGTGGGGGCGTGGCCCTCCCTCCCATTTTTTGCTGCTCAACTATCCATCCTCTGGTTCAAACAACCTTATACTGCCATCAGGTGGTCAAAAAAGGTACTACACTCCAAACAAATCAACATTTCTTGTAAAATTTGACAATTAATTATTGTTAAATTTCAAACAATATTGTTGTTTATCGCAATAATTTCTGAGACAATTAATTGCCCAGCAAAATTTGTTATCATGACAGGCCTAAATTGAGTCTCCATTTTTAGAACCAAATATCTTCGTCTAAGTCTAAGTAAGACACACAACCTACGGTAAGTCTGTACATCATGCAACAATTAGATATCACAATCTGTTTTTTTTTTTCAGTGTTCAGTTTTCTGCTTTAAGGTTTGTTTCTTTTGTACTTTGGTTTCTGTGTTTCCTTTGTGCTCGTTTTGTTGACATCAGCTTCCTGTGTTCGCCCCGCGCCAATGTTTTGTTTTTCCCTCAGTCAGTTCTGCTTCTCGTCTCCTGTCTAACCCTCTCTCACCTGTTCCCAGTTATCATTATGCCAGGTGTTTCCACTCCTCCCATCAGCCCAGTCCTTACAGTTGCTCAGCTTGGATCCATTTCCTCATTGGAGCATTGTGTTTGTGTCTCCTCCATTCCTTCCACTGTGTATTCTTAAGTAATTGTAAGTTTTGCTGCCACGTTTGTTTTTTATTGAAGCTCTTTGTGTCTGTCTGTGTCACTGGATTCTACTTTCTACCACTGTGACATTGGACTTTTAGACAAAACTTAGCAAGAGTTTAGCCAAGACATTAAACTTTCATTAAAAAATAATTAGTGATTCCGCAGATATTTTGCTAACAGACATGCAAAAAGATGCGCACGTACAGGAAATAGTTAAATATAAACTCAAACTCCAATCAAATTGTGCACATGGGTGAGTAAGAACATTTGGTTTCAGTATCGTATGACTTCCTTGTGCAGCAGTAATTACAGCTACATCAGTATTTCACATCAGCTGGGAGGAACGTCCATCTCTTCCTCTGTCCAGAGAGGTTTGATCACTGGAATGTTGTCTGGTTTTCCCTTCCGGACAGCTCAGTGTCACAACACTTTCAGTTAAATCACCATGAAAGTGGTGAAAACAAAGTTGAAGACGTAAGTAAAAACGTTTTGACTGATGAAGGAGCATTCTGTTTCCTGAACATGTCTGCTGGTTTACGTGTCTGGAAAAGTAGTTGAGCTGAGTTTTATCACGTTGATGCACAGATCACTTTACCTTGAGATAATCTACTTGGTGTTTTCTTTTTCACGAACATAAACCTTCTCATTTAACCCAGTTTTGTTTTCATCGGTCTATGCTTTCTGCCTTGCAGCTGTTCCACATGATCTTTAGCAAATTGCTGACGAGCGACACTGATTTTGGTGTTTTGATGAACACCTTGGGGGTTGAGGAGATTTGACGCCTCGCTCTATTATAACCTCTAAAATGACCACGTCTTGTTCTCAGGAGTGATTTTACTGTCTTACTGATTTGTGGAATTCAAGCTCTTTAGAAACTTTCTGTAACTCTTTTCAGTCTTGTAAGCAAGCCTCGTGAGTGTAAGGTTCTCTGTTGGTCACTTTTTAAATGAATAACTTTTATAAAGTGTCGGGATCAGACTTTGAGCAGATCTCTGTTGTTTCAATGAAAATAAATTCTATTCAGACATGATTTTCATCCTGCAGACTGACGGCATGAGTTCTAAATTCATCTTCAGATTAAATCTAACAAGTTCATTTATTCAATGCCTACATATGTATTTTACATCTTATTATGTTTGATGTTACATATTTTATATACCGTATTTTCCGGCATATAAGTCACTCCAGAGTATAAATCGCATCAGTCAAAAAAAGAATAATAAAAAGGAAAATAAAACATATATGTCACTTTGGCAAATAAGACATTTATTTTGTTACCTCTGACCCGTCACGTTTATTATGCATTTATTCAATGGTCAAAACAGCTTAATTTTGCTGGGGCAGCACGGCGCCATCCATCCATCCATCGCGGCTGGAGCCTCTAGCTCTCCAGCGTTCCTCCACCTGCACCAGCTGAGTGAAGCGAATGTGCACGGGAGGACTCACTGTTGCAGTTCTTAGAAATTTAAAGCGTCACTCAAAAACTGTTATGAATATGGAAAAAAAAAGTATATAAGTCACTTTTGCGTGTAAGTCACTGGACTGACAAATCTATGCAAAAAACTGATTTATATGCCAGAAAACACAGTACACTTTTGTTTATACAGAATATAGAAACTTCTAAAGACTCACAGGCGTTTAGGTGCACTGCTACGTCCCACTCCCAAGTTATGTGTGTTTGAAGAGAAAAGGAAAAAGAAAGTCATTTAGAAAAACTTGTGTTAGTCTGAGATAATCTTGTTTGAAACAGTAGTTAATTTCTGAGAAATTAACAAATATATGCTTCATTTTTTATGTTTTAGTCACTTGTGGTTATTCACAAGGAAGGTTTTAAATGGCATCATATTTAAATATTTACAACCCTGAGCTTATTGTGAATATTTTTATGGTGCTTTTAATTCTCACACTGAAGATGAAATAGTGGATATTTGGCAAACAGAGGATTTGACATCATTTTGGTGTTTGGTGCTACAGATGCTCGTTGTTTTTTTGCTAAGCATGAAAAAAGGGGACATCACTTACCTATTCTGTAATAAATGTGGTTAGCAGCAAAGCTAACACTTATTTATTAACATAAGCACTATGCTAATTTAGCTTCAAATAAATGCTACCAAAGACTAAATCTTAAAAATAAAAAATACAATTCTCATATTTGTTAACTTTAAATTCTGTAATGATTAAGAGCAGTAACCTTCTGATATATTCCCAGTTTGCACGATGTGTGGCTTTTATCCCGAGCCAAGCTAGCATTTCTGCCTTTTGTGCTAAGCTAACGCTGTTCCATTCATTTAAATCAGTGAAAGACGTCGCACCCAAATTAATGGTATTTTTATTTGTACGCCTGACGGGATGCGTGCCAAGCAAAGAGAAATAAACAGGTCAGAATTATGACTGAAACGTCAGATTCACGACCGCCTCGACCTGAAACGATCCAAAACAACTGCCTCTCCCATAACATGTTGTGATGGATGAGCAACAGAATTTTCATTTTCACTTTTGGCCAAAAACAGACTTTTAGTGAACATGAAGCTGCACTGTTTGCGTTAAAAACAGAAACATACATTGTTATTAAATTGTATTGCTAACGGAGTACAAGTAGCAGATCCAGCAGGTTTTCTGACTTCCACCTATAAATTGATTGAACACGATACCAATCCAAAGCTTTAGATTTCTGATGTTAAGTTAAAAGCAACATATTCATGTTTTGTTTGTATTGTATTTACTTTACGAAGTTGTCAAAAATGTTCCAATTCTTTCTTTTTTTTAACATAAAAAACTAAAAATCCGACTCTGCGAAGTTAGTTCGTAGTTTCTTATTTACAATTTTTACACCTCACTGATGTGTCTTTTCTGCCCCGTAGGCTGGCCTCACAGTGCGTGCGGTCCAGAAGTATCTGCTCGGCACAGACATGACCCTGTTCACCACAGAGCACATGGACGGCGGCGCGCCCACCCAGCCTTACCCCTCCAATTCACCGGGAGGCGGCGCTACGGAGAGCACGGAAACCTACCAGAACCCGCCATTCACCGAGAACAACGCAGCACCCACGTACCAGGTTCCCATTTACTAGAGACAGGATGGAGGAAGAGATCAAAACAAAGGGAAATTGCTTTGTGTGATTTCTGTTACGAGTTGTTTATGGGTTGATCTGGTCAGAGGTTTCAGTCGCCTAAAAGAGGAAAGAGCCTTCTGCTTCGTTGTTTCCTCCTCTAGTTTTTCGCCCTACTGAACATTCCAGCTTTATCTGCTTTTCTCTGGACCTGTGGTTCAGAAAAGTCCCAGCGTCAGAACGGATGAAACACATGAAAAACTAGAGAAGGCAACATTGAATAAGAGGCCACTCTGAGTTTTTTTTTAAACATTATTTTGTCATAAAACGAAGAGATGATCAAGCTCCGCCTTAACCAAGTTGTGTTAAATCATCATGTCGTTGCGTTTGTTCATTCAGGTGTCTCTTTTGCCAAAACGCTGGGAATACTTTTTTATTCCATAATAAAACCTCCTCACATTCCCTCGGTTTCATTTGCATCAAATCTGTTTTCAAACTTAGAGATCATCTAAGTGCCATACTGAGCTGCGTGTTTCAGAAAGTGACTTAAGTTTAGCTGATTGCAGTAAAAACTACAAAAATGCTTTAGTGCAATACCTCACATGCAACTGTAGGCAGGTATAAACTACAATATGTCTGAGTCAGGTGAGGAGGACTCAACGCACTGTCTCCAATCACATACTAGTGGTTAAAATGAACAAATAAGCCAATAATAAATACATTTCTTGGCTAAAATTGGTAAATGATTACTATCAGTTTATAATAGTGGGTGTTTCTGTACAACAGAAAACAAAAACAGCTGGGGACACTGAATTATAAAGTCTAATTAACATGGTTTAAGAAGCTTTTAAATCATATTTTCAAGATCTACCTTGGCTCAATCAATAATTCAAACAAAAAACGATCAGGGCTTTGTCATCGAGGAGGAGTCGTGTTATCAAAAACGGCTTAATTTAAAATCAATAATCACTTTTCTGTCTGTCTCATCTCTATGTGGTTCATGAATGGATATGTGGAAGAGCCTAATGACGCTTTTGTCCAGGAAGTATTATATATTTATTGATAGAAAGTCAACAAAAGATGCAAAACCAAAAAAAAAAAGCAAGTGAACAATAGTTGTAGACTCCATCTACTGTGCAGAAGAATGTATATATCAGAGTGTGATTTGAGACCGTGTGCTATATGTTGAGAGGTGTGTGAATAAGTGGGGATCTTCTTTATAAAATCTGTTGGTTTATGTTTATAAAAGCTGCCAAACTGCCCTGTGTTCTTATCGCGGTCTTCTTATTCCCTCATTCCTCCTGTCTTAACGTCAGCAGGGGCAACAACAGACGAGCCTTCGTTAAAAGCTGGGTTTAAGAAGGGTTCAGTTAAGTCTCAGGCAAAAAAAAATGTTTTGGATCACTAGCTCATCCATTTTTTTGGGTGTGTCAGAATTAGTTGCCATGGTGACATCATGGAAGGATGTGGCTCTGAAGTGGTCCTGATGTAGATAGTAGGCATCTATTTGAGTGTGTAGCAGTGTCCACATTACACTCACCCCAGGCGAACCTGTTGTTTCCATCTGGGCGTGTGTGAGCATCTCCATATGCAACATGCGCACGAGGATTTACATGCAAGAAGAGCTTAGTGTTAGTGTGGGGAGGTGTGGATGAATATAGTTAAAACAATGCTTCTGATGCTTTGAAGTGAGGCTCCAAGGAACGGTAATGAATGAGTTAGTGTCTTAGCTGTTGCAGGAAGCTCCTTGAGCTCTGTTCAGAGACCAAAGTGAGTTTCTGCTGTTTTAAAACTACTTTCATCTCAAAGGTTGATTCAGGTTCAGGCAAATACTGAACCTGAATGAGTCATTACTCGTTCATTTCAGCAGAAATATGTGAGTTTATGAGGAGGTTTATAAGCTTTCTGTTTTAGGTGTCTGTGTAAATATAAAAATGATTTATTTACACAGGTTAGTCTTGTTGAGAAACAATCATCTCATTTACAAGAGAGACCTGATAATAAAAGATATTCTTATAAAATATGCATATAAATACAACCATATCAAAAATTTAAAATGTCGGCTAAGTTGATATAAAAGTAACAACAAAATAAAAACTCTTTCTGTGCATGCACTGAAAACCACACCAAGGACCCCTATGTAAACCGTAAAAATTGTTAACATAATTACACATCTTTCCACAGATTGGCATGTTGAAATTTTCTTACTTTTTTTTTTGTTGTTAGTCAAGACAATATCGCCACCTAGTGGTTCGGTGTCATCAGCTCAGCTTTCACAGAAATTTCTGTATTCACGCATGCACGGAGAGAACATGCAAACTCCACCCAGAAAGGCCCCCATCCGGGATCTGAACCAGGGTGACCTGCTCGCTGAGAGGTGGCAGCTCTACCAACTGCTCCACCGTGCTGCCCTTTTGTTTTACATATATTGTATATATTAATATGTATAACTAGAGAAAAAATATGAGTTTGTAAAAATATCTGGAGTAATGTAAACCTTTGACCAAATGAGCTAACGGCTAATTCAAGCAGGACCAAGGCCAAAGTGGACTACTGCCATTTTAAAACAAAAAGATTTATAGTGATAAGTCTTTACTGTTAATCTCACATTACATGGTTTTTACATTTAATTTTAACCATTATTTGTCAACAAGAGTACAGTAGTTAGCTGCATGGCAGGAATTCTTTTTGGAAAATGTAATATTTCCTTTGAAATAACTGTAATGTGAAACCCCTAGCCGTGTAAAAGTTTATCAAATAGTGTTAGCATGTGCTGCTGTGATATTTTGGGAAACTAAGTTTCTTTAAGATGGCAGCTTTGAACATTTGGTCTCGTCCCTGCTCGGACTAGCCATCTGCTCCTCAGTCTGGTCTGAAGTTTTATCGCCGTGTACAGAGATGTGTGTCACTGTCAAAGATCTATCTACAACAGGTAAGATGCTAATTGCTCATAAGGTTACCACAGAACGCCTCTTCAAAAGAGCAGAAGTATTCCTTTTTTGTTGTTTGTTTTGTGCTGCGTCAAAGGTGTGTACTTGTCACAGTTTCCTCACAGCATTTAAAGTTTCCCTAAAATGAAGGTAATCTTTTAGCTAAACATGCTAACAGCTTCACTGTCAGGTTACCGAAAACATAAAGAATGAAGTTCACACTTTTATTTATTTCTGCTTAACAGAGGTAAACGTAAAAGTTTGTGTGATGTGATTCATCTGATCAGTAGATTATGTTGCCTGCTTTTTAAACCCATCATGATAATAACGCTTGAATCTTTTAGATATAGTGAATATTACATTACATTGTCAGCTGAGCCCAAGTTGTTTTGCAAAGATTTACCAGCACTCAGTAAAGCTAGTAACAGTGTTGCTCCCTTCTCTGCTGTCTCGTCTGTGATCCTGGTGATCTTAGATATTTATTTATACTCATGAACGTGTAAAACTGCTACAGACGTCTGACATTTCTGCACCAGAGAACTTCATCCAGTAATTCACATTTGGCCCGAATGCAGAATTTCAGCAGCTGGAGCTGCTAGTAGTAAACATCAGTGAGAGTTTAGGTTCTGTTTGTGTTCCATCTTCAAATATTAGAATAAAATAAACAATAAAAAATTAAAAAATAAATAGTAGTGTGGTGGAAATTTTTAAAAAATCTGCAAATTTAGGGTAACTGAAGTGATTGTTTCTGCTTGTTGAGGTTTTGAGACTTCTTTTTAACCTGTGGGTACATTGTTTTCTCTTTGCCTCTGTTCTTATTTGATTTTGTCTTATTTTGTCATTTTATTTACCGTAATTTCTGGACTATAAGCCGCTACTTTTTTATACAGGCTTTGAACACCGCAGTTTATACAATGCTGTGGCTAATTTATGGATTTTTTTGTTTTTGTTTTGATGGACTAACGAGCTTCATGCCACCAAAACATTTAGGCTCGTCACACCTGGGCACTCACATAGCTGCCCAATACACGTCTCTCTTGGGGGGGGGGGGGGGGGGGTGTTCTCTTGACTCAATGAGACTACCTGTATAAATAAAGGTTAAAAGAAAAAATCTGACCAATGAAAGTACCGAACAGGTCACAGTGGGCCAATGAAACTGGGAGGAGAGGTGACTTCCTGTCACCTCTCATTGAGTCATTGAGGATGATCAATGACTTCCTGGTAGGCTACTGTATTTTTTTTTTATTTTTTAACCAGCTGTGTTACAGGCACTGTTCAGAAAAATACATTTACAATATGTATTTGTTTATTTTACCGGTAGGTATTTAATTAAAAGTTTAAAAATATATATTTCTGTGTAAATATCTCATGTTACAACGTGGGCCTATTTATACACATTTCTTTTTTCTTTTGTGGGCGTGGCTTATATTCAGGTGCGCTCAATAGTCCAAAAATTACGGTACTCAGCTCGGGTTAATTTGTTTGCAGCTGCTGGTACGACTGTTGGGTGCTGGCTGAGTGAAGGAGATGAATAATGTTCTGTTGGGTTTTGTTACCAGGAAGCCTTTTTATTGGAGTTAAAGAACTCCACGATGTGTCTTCTCAACACGTGCACGCCCTCTGGTGGCACACAGTGAAGATCTGTTTTCACTGCGGGCTGCGTTTCTGGACTGATTTCCTCCCTTTAACACCCTCACTGGGGTTTTGGTAGAAACTAGACACACTCAAACTGATTGGATTATTTTATTATAAGATTAGATAATTTGCATTAGGCCATGATTTTTTTTATTTGATAGTTTTTATAAAATTATCCTCAAGTGAGTTTAAAAATTATTTGGACTTTTTATGGCCTAAATTTAAATTGTTATGAAGCATTTCTGCATCAACATTGGTATGAAGGTTGGTGGGTTTTGGAAAACTTATATGCAGGCAGTATCTTACCTGCTGTAGATAGCTCTTTGAATGACCTCAGTTTGGATTAACAGTTTGATTCTGAGCGTAATGGCGAGCTAACAGCTAGTCTGAGTGAGGCAGATTAAGGGGGATTGCCACCATTTTAAAACAACACCAGTTTTTTTAAGCATCCCAGCAGCTGATGCTGTTATATAAATCATTACATAAAATGTTTGGATTGTGGGTTGTAGCTAGCTCAGCCGTCAGTGCCACGGTCCTCAGGAAGGGCTTCTGGTGTCAGTCTATCATGTGAGTTTGCTTGCAGCAAAAGGAAAAACAATTTTGACTTAACAGCAGTGGTAGCAGCTAGCTGTAGCACTTCCAGTGCAGTCTGGGAGACCTCTGGCTGGAATGTGGTATCTCTGCCAGAATAATTGGTAATGTGAAACACACAGTGTTGTTAACGATAAAACAACATTTGCATGAATTGCTCTGAAATTATTGGGATAAAATCTATTTTAGGATGGTAATCCATCTTTAGCTTAGCTTTTAGCTCATCAATTTAATCTGAATGAAACTGTTTCCAAACTGATGTTCAAGGAGCTATCTACAACAGGTAAGATATTAATTATTCAACAGAGCCCCACTGAAAAAGATCTGAACTAGAGAGAAATCAGCTCACGACGCGTTGTGCTAATATTAAGAACATGAGAGCATTTGTGGAGCACTTTAAGTCATCTTTATTTTGATGGTGGATTTAATTTTCTCAGGGGAAGACAGGGGCTATAAGGCTACCTGGGGGGTATTTAAAATATTGTTAATTTGGGGGGCTGTCAGTTCAGGATGTTTTATCGTTCTCAGTGCTTCGGTCTTTTATTCAGTCAGTGTGGTAGATGAAAAATTATAATACAAGCATTCTGTGTTTTGTGCTCAGGCACACGTACACTACTGTGGTACTACTGGTTGATCGGAAAAATAAAGAAATAAAACCCGTAAAAATAAAGCATCAGTATGTTCATGATGTAAATGGAACTCATGTGTGATGCTGTCCAGGGTCTGGTGTGTCCTGAAAATAAGAAAACATTATCAATAATAGTTATTTATTGCATAGACTACTCTATTTTATTTTTTTCAAATACTTTGTAGAACAATCGCAAAAGGGCCCAAGTCGACATTTTATGCGATCATCATGTTTTGTGAAAATGGAAGTAACAAAAAGGTTGTTAGTTGTAGTAATCCTGGCACCATCAGTGGTGTGGTTCCAGTACAGTACGTTGCATGGATGTTATAATACACCTACCCCCTAACCCCCCAGTTATATTGGTGGTTTAACAAAAAAAAATAAAGTTCTTGTGAAATGAGAAGCAAGAAAACACTGATTCTGTAGCGTGCTACCCCTTTAACTTGTTTCTACTCGATTGTTTCTTCTTGTTCTGAAGCCGTTCGGCCTCTTCAGTGTAAAAGTCGCCGTGTACAGAGATGTGTGTCACTGTCTATTACCTGGAATCTAGTCTGACCATCACTTCAATAAAAGAGAAAACATGTTTTGGACTGCCTGTTTCTGTGATGATTGTTTAATGTGTATAACAGGTACACACACAACAATGTGTCATCTCTACACTCTGTCGTTAAACGTTTGGCCCCAGATACTTCATCTACGTTCAGTACGTCTAGTCCACGTCTCCATCGTGTTCCCACACACACATTCTGTCCTGCTTCTACTGGCTTTCATTCCAATGCTCTGCAGAGGATACCGCCACCTCTCCGGGCTCTCTTCCACCTTCTCCCTGATCTCACTACAGATTGCAGCGTTGTCCACCATTTGTCAACCTGTCCATCACAAGGAGCTCAGAGACCCCCACCTTGAATCTGTCCCTCTGAGGACCTCATCACTGTCTTGCTGTCACGCTTCACCTCACTCAGTCTCCTCTCTTGGTCTTCCCTCAACATATTAAATATTTAGTCTCAAAGTAAACATTTTAAAATTGAATGCAGATTAAAAAAAAAAAAAAGAAAATATTTCTTGTTTTGTTTTTTACAACCCTGATGCAAAAGAGTTTATCAACAAGGTTCCAGTGTTTAAAAGGCAATAATTTCTATTTAATGGTAAAATCAGAATTTTATTTTGACTGCTGGCCAAAAAACACATTACTGTTTGAGTACATTCAGAAAAATACCATTTGCTATGATTTACAGTACAGTATATGGAAAAATGAAATACTGTCTAGACCAGGGGTCTGCAACCTTTACGATCTAAAGAGCCATTTCTGCCCCTTTGTTCTCTAAATTAAACGTGTCCGGAGCCACAATACCTGCTACAACTGGGATTCTCAACTGGTGGCCCACAGACCACTTTAAGTTTGTTGGAGAGCGCTTTTTGGACAGTAGGGGTGATTTTATAAAACTAAAAATATCTAATGATTTTTAACATTTACTGATATTTTTACATTATAAGACAAAAATAAATGACAAGATTCTTGTAAAGAAAGAAAAAAAAAACAGTTTTTACCCATTTCTAAAAACTAAAACAATAAACTATTCATATGTGATTTTTTTATTGTTGAAAAATTACTTATCCTACTTTGAAGAAATAAAGCGTAAAGTGAGTTTTACTCCTTGTAATGTTTCTAGAATTCATATATTTGCTAAATTAATTACAGGAAAACTGCTCAAACTAGCCCTTTTAGTTGTTGTTAACCAATTAAATTCAGTTTTATTTCAGTTTTGGTCAAAGCTTGAAAGAGCCGCTGCAGAGGGACCAAAGAGCTGCATGTGGCTCCAGAGCCGCAGGTTGCAGACCCCTGGTAGACGTTAATAATACAGATATCCATCCATCATCTTTACCCGCTTCTTCCATTTTGGGTCACGGGGGTCGCCGGTGGACAGGTCTCCAGTCCATCACAGGGACACAGAGACAAACAACCATTCACTCTCTCACTCACACCTATAGGGACAATACATAGTTTACCAATCAGTCTAACATGCATGTTTTTGGTCTGTGGGAGGAAATCGGAGTACCCGGAGAAAACCCACGCATGCACAGAGAGAACATGCAAACTCCACCCAGAAAGGCCTCCGGACCGGGATTTGAACCAGTGATCTTCTCGCTGAGAGGCAACAGCTCTAACTGCACCACCGTGCCACCTCTTCCATGTTAAAAACAGCCGTTATGACAGTAACTGGTTAAACTCTACCTGAAGATCAATGTTGTTGATTATTTCCACTCAGTTGGCACTTCATCATCACGAGCTTTAGTTTGACATTTATTATGCATCAGCACACCACACATAATTATTTGGACTTCAAAATATTTGTGTATTATTTAAATTTTATTGTTTAGTGTTTTTAATAAACTTTTTCTTAACTGGTGATTTTTTTAAAAATGTGATTATTGTGCTTGAAACCTGTTTACATAAACTCTGCATCTATAATGTGTTTTAGAAACAAATGAGCCTGCTCATGAGATTCAGTTCATTTTTCTAACCTCACTCAAAGTCCAGTAAAAATGCTTCTTCTTTCGGCTGCTCCCTTCTCGAGGGGTCGCCACAGCGAACTCGCACCAAGACTTGGTAGTTATTTTTACACCGGACGTCCTTCCTGACACGACCACAGAGCATCGAGCTACCACAGCCCTCTGTGTGGAGCAGAGAGCTGCCATCAAGGGCGCCCAGGGGAGCAGATGGTGGGGGGTTAAGGGCCTTGCTCAAGGACCCAGAGTGGGGCAAATGATGATGGAGGCAGGTGTGGGTGCTTCACATATCCCACCCACATTTTGATGTCAGTACCGGGAGTTGAACCAGCTATCTTCCTATCACAGGTCTAACCTCTGCACCACCACTCCCAAAAACACAATTTAATGTTTCCCAAAATATCCAATAAAGCCATTTGAGATGATTTTTTTTCACTAGATTTATTTTTCACTGAATTTCTTTTTAATGTTGAGAACTGTTTTGGGAGGTGACCGAATAGTTTTCTGTTGTGTGAGAGTCATCCAGACATCAGCACCACAGTGCAGGAAAGCCTTCATGAGAAGATGTGCAGATTGTGTAGGACATTTGAGGACACACAATCACAATGTTTCGTTTTATTTTCCATTGTGCAACACAACAGCTCAGCTGAGCCAATTTATCAACAAATATGTTGAGCAGGTTTAACGTGCGTGTACAAAGAACTGAGATTAACCTTTTATTACAAGCGTCTTGCCGACGACACGTTGTGGCTGAAGTTGAAGCTTGGGTGAGAAAAGGTTAAGAAGTGAAATTTGTTCCATCTTGGTATGCAGCTCCCCTTCTGTCACCTGCAACATGGTGTCCAACAATCTGTACTCGCATCCCTAACGGGCGTTTCCTCTAAGTCAAGCATTAAAAAGTCAGCAATTAAACAAGTCTACACTTCAATAAATACAATGCTGATTTACAGTGAACGTCTTCAGGTTACTGAGCCGAGCAGCACCGCCGCCATGCAGCTTTGATCACGTTGTTACAGAAACGATACGCCATCTTCAGTTTAAGTCAAACCAAAATGCAAAAGAGAAACAATAACATGTGTAGATTTGTGTCAGGCAGCGATGGAACGGAGTTGTGATTTGGTGCGAGTGTCGGGTGAAGACGCCCTCTAAGGATGCGAGCACAAACATTAGGCGTCCTCCTGTCTGATCAGGACATCGTCCACACGAACCATCAATAAAACCTTCAAAGAGAAAACACCATAAACCTGCTGTTGTGAGTCAGGCCTCGGCCCCCCAGGTGCGTGGTCAAGCAGGAGACAGGCTGTTGACCCACAGACTGCTGCAAGGCTTCCACTGAACTGCAGGTGGGGGGGCAACAAAACTACCCCCACAACAGCAAACAAAGCAGCAGGGGCTAGCTGATGATTCGGCTGATGGACTGCAGGGAAGGGAACTCCTCGTTCTCCCTGATGTGCAGGGTCTTGTGGGAGTTGAAGTCTTTGGGGGCCAGCACCTGTCTGCAGGTGGGGCACACCTGACAGTCCAGCTCAGCGGCCATGTTCTGCGCTGTGGCAGGCACCTGCCAGGCATTCTTCTTGTTCTTGCTCTTCTTCCCTGCCCCAGCACCGGACTGCTTCTCCAGAGCCCTGCAGTCTCCGTGGGCGCCCAGGAGCTCCTGCTGCTTCCCCGTGTCCGGTAAGAGCACCAGCAGCTCGTTGAAGATGCGGCTGAAGTCGTCTCCGAGCAGGTCCTTACAGCTGCGGTGGTACTGGGCTGCTGGGATCAAACTCTGGGAACAAGAGAGCGGACAGACAAACGAATTAGCTGAAACTAACTGATCGTTTAAGCCGTCTTATTTTATAGTTTCTTACAGAAGAAGAGCTGCACGCACCTGTCTGAACTGAGCAGAGTAGTTCTTGAACTGGTTGAACTTTGACTCGTCATTATTCAGGAACTTTTTAATGGACTGAATTAGCTCCAAGTTTCTCTGCTGGAAGTCGTCTGGCACTAGATACTCACTGCTAAGCACCTTGGGAGGCCTAGAAATGGAAAAGAAAAGAAACAAGCACTAAGTACTTGAAATGTGTTTGTAATCCACAAACAAACCAGGCGGATGCTATTGCAGACATTAAAAATTCCCGCTTACTGATTGACGACAGGCTCCACCACATTGCTGTTCAGGGCGATTCCTGTGAAACCTGGGGGCGGTTTGGGGGCCGAGAGTCCCAGACCAGGTGGAGGTTTGGGCATAGCAGGGGGTGTGTTAGCTGCTGAGGCCTTCACTGGGAAAGAGGTCTTGAAACCTGACAGATAAAACAAAGCAGACTCAAAACTGCAGAACTCCTGAAGAGGTGGCGCTAGTCAAGAAACAGACAGGTCCATCAGGGAGAGGGTCCATCAGGGAGGGGGTCCCTCAGACGTTCACCTGCCTGCTGCATGAACTGTCCCCTGCACATGCAAGTTATAAACGTGATTTGAAAGTGGTGCTGAGGGTTTATACAGTTGGGCTGAACCCCATTTTTCCTCTTTTTAGCATAACTTAGGGAGAGGGTGTCACAATCCTTTGCGTCATGAAGCCAAGACCTTCATAAATCTTAAAACTTAAGTTTCTTTGGGGGAAGCACAGTTTAAAATAAAGAAGTGTGAGCTGTGACAAGGAAAAAGTGGTGAAAAGTAAAAACCACTGTCTTTTCATCCTTTACTACTTTAACCAATAAACACACGTTTTGATTAACCAGTGCTGTTTTTTATGTTTCTGCTCCTAAACATCCAGTATCAGTCAAGTTTTAATACAATGTCTTAAAATATTTTCCCCTCCAGCATTTCCAGGCCTCCTGCTCCATAACTGCAAGCTCGAGCTGCACACAGTAATGCACATTTTCCCCTCTACTGTGTGCGTTTGCACCTCAGCAACGAACATTTAAGTAGGTGTGGGTGTCTATAGAGTTGTGAGGGTCCACCTGATTGGCTGAATACATTACTGGCATCCAGAGTGGGAGTAATGGTTTACTGCAGTCTGATAAATATCCTTTGTGCAAACAAAGTGAAGAGAAAAGAATATTTGAGTGGTTGTGCTGTTTTTTTTTTACCTGGTGGGGGTTTCTTTGTTATGAGAGCGGGGAACTCTTCCTCCGGTCCAGGAGGGGGCTCTGTGATGGGGGAGGGGGTCACCGTTAGCGACTCTCTAGAAACAGCTGGTGGTGTGTCAGCCCTGCCATTAGTGACTCCGTTCATAACTGGCACTGGAGCAGCATTAGAAAGTGGTTTGTTCCGAGTTTTCTCCGGGACATTTTCCTTCTGCGCCGTCGTTTCCACGGAGCTTGTGCCCACAGCTGCTGTCCCTCCCAACATCGTGGACACAGACGCAGAGGAGTCAGTCGGGTTTTTCGTTTTTTTCTTCTTGTTGGACTTGGTGGAAGGATGATCTGTGTTGGGGGTTGGATGGGAAGAGGGGGAGGTCACAGTGGGTGGTTTGGCGTTTCCTCCTCTAACAGTGAGCAGAGAGGAGATATCCAACATGGTGGGCACCGAGCGGAACTCCTGCTGCGTCATTCCTCCACTCTCATCGTCGGAGAGAGGAGGGGAGGGCTGAGACGCTGCCTTCTCCCCGACTTTCTTCTTCCTGCGTGAAGACGAAGAGCTTAGGGACGAGAGGAGCTGAGGGCCGGAGGGTGCAGATGAGACAGGAGGGGGCGCTCTGGCGGGAGGAGGCTGACGAGTGTCAGTTTTAGGAGCAGCAGTATGGCTGGACCACGCCACGTTGGCGCCTGACGCGGGTTTCAAAGTTCGCACTTTGGAGACCAGAGCAGGGAAGTCCTCCTCCTGAAACGAGGACGTCTTCTTCGGTTGTCCGGAGTACGCTGGGGTCATCGGGGTTGTGACTGCAGCACTAGAGAGGCTGGGGAAATCGTCTTCCTTCAGAGCTGCACGAACTGCTGTGGATGCTGCTGGTGCTGGTTTTACACTGGAAAAACAACGACACAATGAAGTTTTTCAGCTCACGCCACTCTGGATCATTACAGGCTGTTTGTAGGGTGTGCTGAGGGTTACATGGGTGCCCCTGCTGTGGCTCCTAGAATAGGGAAGTCATCTTCATCTCCTGGATTGGTGCTCTTCATAGTTTTCACTGTAAAAGAGGGAACAATCAAAACATTAGAACCGCTATTGTTACTGGGATTTCGCCAACACACCCAGCTACACTAATTGTTAAATATGTTGATTTTTTTTTTTTTGCAGACTTAAGACATTGCAACAGTGTCCTTTGGACAGATGGGACCAAAGTAAAAATGTTAAGCCTGCATGTACAGTGCCATGATTAGCAAAAACCAAACCGAATGTCTGCACAAACGCCTCATACTAAGGCACGGTGGTGGAGGGCCGATCATTTGGGCTTGTTCTACAGTTATTTGACCTGGGCACCCTGCAGTCATTCAGTCCTCTGTAAACTCCTCAGTTTACCATAAAATCCTGGAGTCAAATGTGAGGCCATCTGCCTGAGCTTGGCTGAAATTGGGTCATGATGCAACAAGAATGATCGTGAACACAGAGCGGCTGAAAATGAATCGAGGTGTTGTGATGGTCCAGTCAAAGCCCAGACCTCAGTTTGATAAAACTACTGAGCTGGGACCTTAACACAGCTGCGCAGAAACCAATGCAAGCCTCAACGAACTGAAGTGATGCAGTAAAGAAGAGTGGACAAACTGATAAAGTCATACAGAAACTGACAAACTGCAGATCGTTGCTACTAAAAGGTGGCTCTACAAAACTGCTGAGTCATGGGGTGGATTTAGTTTTTCAAACGGTCGTTTTGTTTCGACTTCAATTTTTGTATTTTTTTTTTATCATGACATGATAGAATCTAATACTTGAGCTTAGATTTGACTAATTTCAGAACGTGGTATAGCTAAAACATTGGATTATGTTTTGATACCAGCGTCACGTAAAACTATAAATAAATTATTTACCTGGGGGTTTATTAGTTGCTTTGAAATGTCCTGTCAGAGGTCTGGGCTCTGCAGCTGCTTCTACTCTCTCGGTCCTTTCCTCTCTGCAGTGTTTGGGAGTGCTCCTCTCCTGCACAGCAGCTCTCTCTGCTTGTCTACGCATCGCCATGGAAGCCCTCATAGCAGCTTCCATCTGCCTGTCCTCCTCCTCTCGTTCACTGTGAAGAGAAGCAGACAGAGCGGTCACGAGCTGAAGACCAACAACAACCTGACCTGTGGCACATGACTGAACGGATTTTTAATCCAATTAAAAAAATCTAATAAATTTGATCAAAAATAAAGAGCAAGAGTTATTTATCTAAAGACGGCCAGGTGGCAACATTTTTTATTGTTTTGGTTTTATTTATTCATTCATTTAAAAGAAGCAAAGGAAACAAAAACAAATTCATCCAAAATAAAAAAACAACATTGAATGAAAAGGGTGCAGAAAGAAGAAAAATATTCTTATAATAATATCTGCCCCTTATTTAAAAATAAATAAAATAACTAGAAACAACAACTCAGACTTGAACAATCAACATGAAAACAAAAAAAACATCAGGGATTCTTTACATTGTACTTTTTAAACAATTTCAACTTAATCATCTTCTTTAAACATATAAACTGTTTTAGAAATGTTTATGGTGATATCAAGGCAATTCCACAATCCTGTTCCCCGAATTACAATGCAGCTCCTTCACACTAGTTCTAAATGGAGGTTTTACAAACATTTCCATTCCCTTAAGGTTATAATGACTCTTTTTTTTTAACAATTTTTAATTGAATATTTGGGGGTAACATTTTTAATGAGCTTTATACATTACTTATAAAACACTCTATTCAACCAAATCATAAAATTTTAATAATTTCAATTGATAAATAAAGGCTGAATGAATGAATGAATGATGAAATAATATATTTGTTGGGTGACCACAGCACTTCCTACTAATAATTCTTATAGCTCTTTTTGTCAAATAAAAATAGGGTTTGTATTTGTTTTACATGCTTTTCCCCAAACTTCAATACAATAGATTAAATATGGAATAATCATTACATTATACAATATATACAAAGCTTTGTCATTCAAAAACTTTTACTTTATACAGTAATGCAGTTGATTTTGATGTTTATTCTTAAGTATTTTACATGAGATTTCCATGTCAGCTTCTCATCAATAACGACACCCCAAAATATTATTTCATTAACTCTATGAATTTCAATACTGTCAATTTTAAAATGGGACTGGTTATTTTATTTCCATTACTAAATATCATGTAGTTTGTTTTTTTCAAATTTAATGATAATTTATTAAGTTGGAACCAAGTTTGTATTTTTACAAATTCTGCCTGTATCCAGCATTTCAACACTGAATCAGCATTAAAACTTCCCTTCAGGGTTTAAATTAAATGAGCTATTTATTAACAAAGATACAGAAATCTGCCCTATAGGAACAGTCACCACTGCCAAACAAAGCTTACTGGTGATCTGCTGGGAAATGAGACTTTTGAAAAACATTCAAACTCACCGAGAATACCTCCAGCTCTTCTGTCCCATCTGTGGTCTTCCGCGTCCTCCTCGATTGTGGCGCATTTCCTCGTAGTCCTCGCCGCTCACCTGACCTACAGGTGTACGCATTTTATCTAGAGTTAGTGCCGTAGTCATTGTAATCAAACGCAGCAAGGCTGTGACCGACCTTCATGTCTCCTCTGTTGTCTCGGGGCATAGGTAAACTGCAGGTCAATTTGGCGGTTCTGTCGAGCCTCTGCTCGGTTCTTGCTGTGTGCGGCAGCTTTGTGGGCCTTGTAGTCGATCTCGGTCCGGAAAGCGTGGGTGAACTGTTCGGTGGCGCAGCGACCTTCTTCGCACAGATAGTGACTCTCCCTGAAGTGCTCACTCAGATATCTGTAATTACTGATGAGGAAAAAGACGAAAAATACAGTTCAAGCTTCAAGAAGCAAAACGTGTTTTTTTTATTTGGCGTGCGGTGAAGCAGGTGTAAACACCTGTAGTATTCCTGAGAACCGTCTGCGTCGCAGAAATGACAGAAGTAGTGGTCCCTGCGCAGGTGCTTCAGCAGCTCATCGTTATCCAGGTAACGATCGTCGCAGAACTTGCAGAGCGGGTGTCCTCTGTGACTGGTGTCATCCGGGTCTCCGTGCGCTCTATGTCGCGCCAGCTCCTTACGATTGTACCACTTCCGCTCATAAGAAAAGATCTGGTGGGAGTTAGAGAGTTTTTAAGTACATTAAAACAACCATTATTTAATCTCACAAGTCTGTAAAGTCTGGTTTGTCTCTGAATTAAAGAAATCCTCAGGACTAGAATCTCAATTCTAAGACTCTTAAAAGACATTTGTCAAAATATTGAAGTAAAAATTTGTTCTGCTGCATTTCATATTGTTATGGATTGATTTGTTCTAAGGACAGAAATGCCTAAGCAAAGAAAGACACACAAAGTTTGTCTTGTCTAACAACTGACTGTGCACGCACATTTAAAGATTTATAACAATGGCTGAATAAACTCTGAAACCTATCCTCTAACAACGTCTCAAATCTTTAACAGTCACCGGCCTGTGTTCACTCTTAAACAATGGTGGCCATGCTGAGGGACTGAGAAAACCTCTGAACCGAGTGGTTGAGATGAAAATACCTTCAGATGTTTCAGGCAGAGCTTGCAACAGAAGAGCTCGTGCTGCTTCCTCATGTGCTGCTCCAGTTCCTCAAATCTGGAGAAAACTTTCGGCTCCCGGCAGAGAGGACACTCTGACAACAGCAGACGCCTGATTTCACACACGCACACACACAAATAGATATTTTAAAAATGTTTATGATTCAGGTAAACTAATCAGGGAACACTTTACTACTGCAGCTGTAAGCTTTGCAAACAAGTAGCAGGTTCTTAAACTTTCAGCAAAAACAGTTTATAATGGCTTTATTATACATGTTTTTTATACCAGGACACAATGCACACAACCTTTTAACCAAAATTGTATAAAATTGTCCAGAACGACACCAACACCTTCACAAACTGACATGTCCAACAGATTTACTTGTGATTTCACGAGTCTAATTCATCAGGATGCTGCTTGATGAGATACACGTTGTGGTTTTCTACAAAGAACAGTGACAATAATTGCAACCCTTCGTCTGGCTTTGACTGCGTTACATTTCTAAACTGAGGTTCACCAATATTAACAAGAACCCTCTCTTTACATGATCCTGATAGTGACAAATATACAAAACATTATCAGTACGAGTATCTGCTGGTTGTAAAGAAGCGACACAATCAGAGACCATCCCATACCTGTATTTAGCAAAGATCATTTCATCAGCAAAATAGATGTCGTGTTTGTTCTCACAGGGGAACTGCTGATAGGGCAGAGACTGAAAGGCCTCCAGCTTTTTAATGAACACCACCTGAAAACAGCAGGACAGAAAACAAGAACTAATCTCATGACAAACATCAAGAGAAAGCACAGTAGTCGATTACTTGCAGGAGGGGGAATTTGCCGAATAGCACGGTAAGTTTTACAATACTAATAATCAAGAGGACTGGAGGCATATTTTCTGCTCTATTAAATTGACCAATGTTAAACTTTTTGATTAGTTGCAACTCTGGTTGGAGGTTTATTTCACACTCATGGATGTGAATGCCACTTTTGAAAAGTAAAATTATAATTTTAAAATAAAATAAAAACATATTAGATGTTCAGGTTTTATGCAAATGTCCTAAACTTCTGCCGAGCTCAAAATAAGATGATTTAATGAGCAATCTCCTCTTCTGGACCCAAGAGACTCATTCTGACTGTAAACAGATGTAGCAGACCTGTACCTTAGTGTTATAAACTAACCAGATTCCAGTCAGTTTGTCATTAAAAAAAAGTTTTTCCACAATCATTGGAGAGTGGGTTTGTGTTCAGCAACATCCGCCTCGAAATTTAAGCTCCAATATCTAATGAACATCCTGTTATGCGACGTGTTGGTCAAACTTTGAGTGCTGAAAAAGAAAGTAAATTTAAAAAACAAGCTCCCAGATAGGTGTGGTCAATCACAACTTCCTGGGAAACCGTAAGTTAAAAGCAAATTTGATACGTGGAGCTCTTCTGATTAAAAATTGGAGACCAAGTGAATTTTTATTTTATTGATACTAGTGTATGCTGAATACCTTACCTTGAATGCTTAAAGTATGAATATCATAAACTCTGAAATCCAGTCCTAAACGTAGTACTTGACTTTTAGCACTGAACTGTGAAGGTGACGACTGTGTGTAATCTTCCTATAAAATAGTCCCTGACCACCTGGGCGGACAGGTTGACTAAAGTCCACTGTATCATACGAATTATGAATCGTTTTTGGACTTTAGTTGGGCTGGTACTTCTTATAGTTTAATATTTTAGCAGTCAGTTTAAAAAGTTAAACGCAAATTTATGGTTACCTGTTATGACATACGGTTAATGTTAAATTCACTTTCCAAATTTAGCTTATGCTAGCTAGCTTTAGTTTACTTGGCTAAGCTAATTAAAGCGTCAAAAAGTAGTCCGTTCGGGGGTTTACACCGTTTTCTGCTATAATCTCTCCCTAACAATTAAGTCAGTCAAGATACAATTTATCAAAATTGCTTCTTGCCATATAGTGATTGCTACATTGACGTCGCGGCCTAGTTAGCTTCAGCTAGCTCAAGCCTCGGCATAGACTAGGAGGAACGCGCACCTTGTCAAGCTCCTCCCGGCAGACGGCGCAGTACTTCTGGTCGCACAGCACCCTCATCTTGGTGGAGCAGCGGTAGCACACCGGGTGGTCGCATTTTCCCAAGGCGAAGATATCGTTTTCTTGACAGCACAAGACGCACGTCTTCTCCGAGTCTTTGGCGGTTGTTGAATCCATGTCGTTGAAAATTAAAACCGAATTAGTCAGACTTAGTACTGTTTGGGTGAGCCAGTCTATGAGGTGGTTACGTAATAAGAAAGCGTGAGCTACTGCCGGCTGTAGCGTCACGTAACGGCTGACGCATAAACGATCTATATGGCATGTAGCCGGACAGACCTCCGTACCACTACGAGGTACTGAGTCCCATCCCACGTGTCTGAGATCTGCGCCGGCTGTCAAACTGTTACACGTGTGCGCCGGCGTCTGCGCTCTAGGAGAAACACATAAAAATAATTAAATAAAGTGAAATAAGCCTTAATTTTTTTTTTTAAACTAACAGATTTCTACATTATTACTACGCAAAATACAGTTAGGTTCGACACAAGTGGTAAAATGTTTATCCATGAAATTCAGGGTTGATAAGAATTATAATTATTTTTACTGATGCATGCCCAATAATCCAGGTAGAAAAATCTAACAGGTCCTCTGACCTGATTTAACCTTGTTAGATATTATTTTTATAGTTTCATCTCTATTATTGGGGGAGTTGAGTTAATCATTTTATCTTTAAATGAACAAAAAAAAAAAGATTCAAATATATAGTAAGAAAAATGTTGGATACTTCAGAAAGTTAAGAGTAAAGTGTGGATTTGATATACTGCAACATGTTTCAGCTATATTGATGGTGAACCACTTGTTTATATAATGGGGTAAGAATATTCTTTGTTTACTTGTCTCAGGAAACCATTTGGAAATAGAACTCAGTGATGATGGACCTTTTTAACCTTTGTACTCCCAGTCCTAAAAAAAAAAGGCCAACAGTGGTGGAAAAATGTCCATGGACCAGAAAAGGAAAACTAAAGTGCTTTACACATGTAGACAGACCTCTGATTTGCAACATAATCATGTATTATTTTAATAATTAAAATAAAGTAAAATCAATATAAAATAGCAGTAGTGGTTTACCTGAAATTACATTTCTAAGTGTGCGGTACATTTGAACTTCTCTCATGAAGCCTGTAAACAAATGTTTATCACAGTAGTTTAAAGTAATCAAGTGTCCATGATTGTGTGATTCTGGTTAGCTAGCGTTTCTTGTGGTGGCCGTTGCTCAGTCCCATGACTTTAAACGTGCAGCTGGCGATCTTCTCATAGAGAAGGAACATGAGGGCGGCAGTCAGCACAGTCTGCAGCAGCTTAGCCTCCAGGCCCTTAAACAGACCCAACACGCCATACTTCCTACAGCAGAGACAGAATCACAGCAACTGTGTTAAATAGGACAAAGGCCTTGATATATTTGGTGCTTTAAAAACAAAACAATGCAATGTTTTTATTGGACTGTCTAAAAATTTTGCACAATTAATTTGATGTGTTCATTTATGTGGGATCCTTTTCATGTAAGCTACAAAAAGTTAAAGAACATCAGGTAAGCACGCTTAACCAAACATCTGTGCCGAGTATAAAAGCACTGGAGATCAAGTTACTTGTTTTCTATATATATTAACACACAATGATACTAACAATAAATACAAACAACAATAAAAAGCTGCACAGTCATGGTAAAAAAAGAAATACATTTTCCAATAATCTTTGTACATCTTAAATAAAACAAGTCTGTGGTTTATTACAGAATTGTAAACTTTGATAAATACACTAAATTAACCAAAACCTGTCACATCGATACATAGCATTATTTATTTGATTTAAAAGTAGCTTCCAGTCTTCCCCGGAGTAGGTTTTCTACAAGATTTACTCTGAGTTTAGATTGTGTAATTTAAAAATTAAAAAGTACATCCCATAAAATCCATCTCAAGCTCTTCAAATCAAAGTTTAGGACGGTGCAACAAGAAAAAGCCAAAAGCTTTCTTCAGAGAGCGGCCTGTAGAGCGTCTTCTCATTAAACAATTTCCTGCGGGGTCAATAAAGTTCTATCTTATCTTAACAGAACACGGTTTACGCTCGCAAAGCTGCAAATGAACAAACACGACTCTTGGAACAATACCGTTTGCACGGACAAGCCCAAAGGGAAAAAATATGATCATAAAGCAAAACGCAAGCGTCTCGTACCAAGTCTAAAGCACGGTGGTGGAGAGATGATGATGTGGGCTTGTTTTACAGCCACAGCACCTGGACACCCTGCAGTCATCTAGTTGACCACACACTGCTCTGTACAACAAAGTATTTTAGTCTCTATCAGTTTCAGAGCTGAAGTTCAGAGAAGCAGGAGAAAGAACCGGAGCAGGAAGTTCAGCAAATAAAGAAAAGAATCAAGGTGTTACTATAATCCAGTAAAACTCCAGCTCTAGGCCGAACTAAACAATTCCTTCTGAACGCAACGAGCCTTAAAGAAGCGTGAACTAAAATCTCACCATAACAGATGCAGGAGACTGATGTGGTCATTCAGAACAAAAACTGATAAAAACGAGTCTGTAAGTTACTAAATGACTTGGAGGACTTGGTTTTTAACATATCTTGCTCTACATTAGTGTTTTGAATTAATAATTCAGTAGTCCCTCGTTTATCACGGGGAATCCGTACCCTGAAGCCCCGCAATAAGTGAAAAACCACGAAGTAAGAATAGTAGTACAAGTAGTAGTTTATTTAAGCATGTATTTATATATGGATGTGGACGTCAGAAGGAACAAACACACCTACACCTCCCTGAACATAAGAGGATCTGCAGTGGAAGTGGTCTCCAGTTACAAGTACTTGGGTGTGCACCTGACAACCTCAGCTGGAGCAACAACAACCACCAGCCTGATCAAGAAAGCTCATCAGAGACTCTACTTCCTCAGACGGCTGAGACAAGCTGGACTGAGAAGCTCAGTCCTCACCTCCTTCTACTGGTGTGCAGTGGAGAGCATCCTGTGCTCCAGCATCAATGTGTGGCATGGAGGCTGCACAGCTGCAGAAAGAAAAGCTTTGCAGAGAGTGGTGAAGGCTGCACAGAAATCTGTTGGAATCAGTCTCCCCACCATCACAGACATCTACACCTCCAGATGCAGGAAGAGGGCTACCTGCATCATGAAGGACCCCACTCACCCAGCACACACACTATTTGCTCCCCTCAGGAAGGAGGTTGAGGAGCATTAAGTGTAGAACCACTAGACTGAGGAACAGCTTCTACCCTGAAGCTGTTAGACTCATGAATCTCTAACCAGAATAATCACTGTGAAAAATCACATGTTGCTGCTGATCTGTTTCATGTTGCTGCTGATCTGTTTCATGTTGCTGCTGCTCTGTTTCATGTTGCTGCTGATCTGTTTCATGTTGCTGTGTTCATGCGTGCTCATCTGTTCACACAGACTCATGTTCGTGCTGCTGTTTGGCGTATTGTTTTTATACTACTAGTGCTTGGCATATTTTTAGTTTATATTTTTCTTAGTTCATATCTTAGATCTTATTACTGTTTTTCTTTTACATTTTATTGTTGGATGTAACTGGGACCCTGTGTACATAATTTCGTTCCACTACATGTACCACATGAGGTGCGAATGACAATAAAGAACCTTGAATATATACATGTTTTTTTAAGGTGTTTTAAACCCTTCCCACACTCTTGCAAACTCTAACAATGCTTCTAAACGCTCTAAAAGAGCACATCATGTCACGATTTCAACTCTCTGCCTCCTGCCAGCTCTTGGCCACGCCCACTTCTCCCCTACAGAGCGGAAATCAGCTGATCAGCTGCAGTAGGAAGCTTCTCCTGCAAATTGGACTACACACTGGTGTTAATAATTTTAAATAATTAATTTTAAATTAAAAAAATCCATGCCCATCGTGCGGCTCATCCATCGATCAGCCAGTTGTGTGTCATGTCCAAACTTATATTGAAAAACCGCGATAGAGCGAGTCCGCGAAAAACGAACCGCGAGGTAGCGAGGGTCTACTTTATATCAAGCTAAAGTTGCATTACCATATTTTAAAATACAGATAAGCAGACATTTTTTTGTTTGTTTGTTTTGGTAACTAAAATCTTGCACTTAAACAAGAGTGCACTTTTTTCCTCATTACTGTACTTTTTTAAGTAATCAAGGAGCAAAACAGATTTGTACAGATGTTAAACAAAAGCAAACACTTTAAATCTGATCATGCTAAAAAACAGTTTTGAGTTGCCCCAAATTTATGAGTTTTATTAGAAATCCCCCATTAGTTATTTGCAAGTTCACACAACTTTTATTGCTGCTTTGTGTCTGCACAGCTAACTCAAATCAAAAACCTAAAACCAGGAGCAAAAAACCACAACAATCTTATTTGAAAACTAATTTGAGTGTAAATCCTCACCTAACTCTGTTGACAAGTAGACTCTTGATCGTCCGCAGGCTGGACAGCAGCTTGGACTTGTCTGCTGGTGCGTTGAACTGACCAAACTGAGGTTAATGGAAAAGGGTCAAACAATCATAAAAATCATAAAATTAAAGGAATAAACATTTAAAGCTTCTATTTTCAAAACATTATATTCACTTTTTTGTTCTTTTAAATATGTGAACGACACACAGAACCCACCCTAAGAATGGACTGTACGGTCTGTAGAGGGTACGTAACGGTGGTGGCAACAGCTTTGGCGACAGCGCCGATCACAAACACCTCCAGTGATGACAGCTTAGGGAAGGAGAGGAGAAGGAGAGTGGTTTGAAAGAAAACAGTTATGTACCATATTTTAATAAGAATTTAACAAGATTAACACTTAAAAACAATTATTTGTTTGCTCAAAATTATAGTAAAGGTGTGTCTCAGTTGAACTTTTGCTTAATAAATGCACTTTGACGGTCAAATCAGCTGCATTTCGTAAGCCGATACGCGGAAGTGGGAGCGCACAGTGGGACGAGTCGCTGTGCATTTCTTCGAAATTTAACAAGATAACCACCTAAAAACAATTATTTGTTTACTCGACATTATAGTAAAGGTGTGTCTCAGTTGAACTTTTTCTTAATAAATGTACTTTAATGGTCAAATCAGCTGTATTTTGCCTGGGTGGTGGCAAAATGCAGCTGATTTGACATTTGCTCCAGGAGTTCTGGAGCGAGATGAAGGTGGCTTGTATGGCAAGCCAAGTGTCTCATTAATAGCCACTTTTACCTATTAATGAGACACTTGGCTTGCCATATGGTCGAGGGCCCTCTAGTGGCTGAAAATGGTAGTGTCCAATATTTTCCATGTCAGAATGAATGAAATCGTCAGATCTCAGCCAAAAATTGGGTTATTAGAAATATCTGAAGCAAAGTCCTCGATCACCGCCGTGTGATTGATGTCCATTCTCTGTGAAACTTGTCTGTTATTATTTTCATATTTTGCCAAATTAATGTAAATGTTTGATGTTAAACTTTGATTCTGAAAATAAATGACCGCATTCATTTTGATGGGTCAAAGATAAATAACGTCTCTCGTTACATTTCTGTTAAATTCAATGCACGACATTACACAGTCAGAAAGATGAGGAACTCGTGAAAATTGTATGCATATATCTCGTATATGTCATACTACTACATAAATACGGGGGAAAAAACATAAATAAGTTGCGTCGGTGCATAAGTCCAGAGTATGTAAATTAGGCATAAAGGTGAGACTTATAAGCCGGAAATTATAGTATTCAAATAAAATACCACACCATGCCTTTTTAAATATTGTCATCTAAAGCGTGCCAGAAAGCACATGGTTTGAAACAGAGCATGAACCTCAAACCTCTAGTTAAGTCTGTTAAAAGTCATGTGCACTCAATTACAGCCTGCATATGAAGTGTTTGTTCATCCAGATAATCTCAGCATGCAATCACGGCTGGTTTCTCTGCTGCTCACCTCCCTGGGGACTTCTCTTCTTAGCTGCCTCTTCAGGCCTTCGTAGATCATGAACTGGATGGCGGGGTTCAGCACCAGCAGCAGAGACGGGAAGGTCCCGTTCCAAAGGGCTCCGACGCCCTCCTGACGGCTGATCTGCACAAGAGCGTCTGCAAAAACAACGCCAGGCCGTAGTTTATGCTGCACTAAACGTGTAAAGAAATACTGATGAAGGTGTGAAGTGAATTTACCCAGAATGCCGGAGTAGTTGGTGGGCCGAATGTCTGCGTTGTGAAACTTGGAGCCCTGAAGCTTCAGCCTGGTGTTGACCACCCACAGAGGAGTGGTAACCAGTACGTTCACAACACCTGGAGAGACGAGGAGACTGGTGAAAAGCAAACACTCACTAAGGTGTTGCGGATGAAATAATTAAGACACGTGACAATAATTTATTGACGTATCAGCCATTAAAAAAAGAAAAGTAGGACACTAGACTTTATGATCCGAGTAATGATGGTCTCACCTGCAGCGATGCCTACGATTAAGTCCGTGCTGGGAGTTGACTGTTTTCCCTTCAGCGAGCCGGCCTTGATGCAGTGGAAACAGTAGAAGTAGACAAAGTTCGAGCAGCAGAGACTGCAGATGACGGGGAACCAGCCTCTGTAGGGAGAGAGTCTGCAGGAAGAGCGCAAGCACAGAGACGCCTCAGAGTCCATCACGTCTGCGTCAGTTCGTTGGTCTGAATCATTAGCAACATGGCTCATGAATCACCAGATGTTAACTACTAGAGGCAATCTCGGTTGAAGATGGCTGCCACAGCAAACTTAGTGAACTCAAAAATGGCCACAGCTCTGTCAGTTTTGCAGATATTGAGCTAAAATGTGTTGTGGTAGTAGCTGAGCATTGTCCCTGAGCAGCGCATTGTGTTGCTCAAAGATTGCTTTTTTTGTTATCCTTCAAACTTGATCAGCTGACATAATTTTACTCACAATCCTTCTTCTTTGACGATGTCTGCCAGGATGGCTGGAGTTGATTTAGCTTTCCTGTTTTCATCCACTGAACACAATCGTAAAGGCACAAGTTTTATTACATTGCTTGCGTTTTAAAAAACAAATACAGTCTATCTGTAAATATTTTTGTCATGTCTTACCCTGAAGCCGTAATCTGGCTGTATCAAGAGGGAAGAATACAGTCATTGCAGTCACACTTCCCTAAAAACAGATTAAAGTCACAATTCATAAAAATAAAAATAATAATAATAATAATAATTTAAAAAAATACACCCTGTGTATGGAGTTTCTCAATCTGTGCAAAACGTCGTTGAAATAACAACTAGTAATTTAAAATTGACCAAGTAAGTAAAGCACAAAACACATTGTTTATTCAAATTAAGATCTAAATGTGTATATTCTTGAAATCGGCATGTGTAGCAGATAGAGGCTTATTTAGCAACTGGAACCCACCATCAAGGACAGAAGTAACATTTACAGATTTACAGTGGTTGACATTAGACTGTATGAAAGCCTCTAAGCTTTAGCTACAACAGCGTAAATCTCACAATACATTTTACATTTAAAGCTAACTTACCATTGCTCCTGCCACAGCATGAACCAAGCTCTCATAAGAAAAAACTTCGAAGCTCATTGTCACTTCGGTTGTTTTGTTTTTAATACAAACTTTATAGAAAATATCCCGCCGGCTCGCAGATGTACTAACGTTCCCTACGACCAGTTTAGCTTTTGATACTTCACTTCCTGCTGTTTACACTGTGGCATTATGGGTAATGAAGTTTTGTTATCAAGCAGCACTACGGTCAAAGAAAAGCCTTTGTGCTGATCCGACCAAAATGTTTTTAAACACTCTTTGTTAATCTCAAGGTATATTTTTCACAAAATAGGTTTATTAAATTTAAACATTTTAAAGATGCAAAATTGGACTGGGATGTAGTTTCGGCGAACTTTAGCTTTGCTAACACGTTAGTGCAGGTCGAAGGCGGGTGATAATGTTTTTGCACTTGTTCGATACAAGTTAGTAAAACAGATTGCAATTAAAAAAAAAACTACTTCCAGGTAAAAAGATATATAATTGGATATACATCTTAATTTTTGAAGTCAACTCAATTTATGACTGTCACATCTAGTGAGAAGGAGTTATAAACAAGTCTAATTCACAACTATGAAGCTTTATTTTGATGTGGCAGTAGTTATCCCTTACTTTACTCTGGGGGTGACATCGTACAATATTTGCACACATTACTTTCAAGTTAGACTGTTAGCTCTTGGACGTGTTGAACCAAATTATGTACATAAGAACAACATTAAAATATAGTTTATTGGTTTGAGGGCGTCTTTTACACTTATGAGATTGAACGATTGAGGATTGAAAGAGAAGAAAGAAGAGCATAAATACAATCTTGGGCTCGTTAGTATGACCATGAGCATAATTTTATATTGTTTTACAATAGCCATTTTGTTTTTTAATATCATTTCTTCCACTTACTGTTCATTTTATATGCTTTTTTATGATTATCTACTGTTGTCATCGGTGTTCTTTGTTTAAAACAGGTCTCTCTTGTAAACGAGTCTTAGAGGCTCAATGAGACTAACCTGAATAAATAAAGGTTGAATGAATGCGCAAGGCACCACAACATCACTGGACTTGGGTTCTGAGCTGTTTTGCTGAACTTCAGAAGAATTAAAGTATTATAATGTTGAATAGTATAAAACCATCATATATGCATCTTATTGATTCTAACTTGCTTGTGAGAATTAAGCTAAATCAGAATGAGTTGTGTTCCTGGCACAAAAATAAATTAAAAATAAATAACAGTTAAAAATCCTCCATCAGTCTCCAGCCCGTTCACTCAGCCACTCCTGGCAAACCCTCCTCTGCTCCTCGCTCTCCTCCTGAATCTTCTGATGTTTGCTTTGTTTCCTCCTCTCCTCATCTCTTCTCCCTTCCACCCTCTCGTTCTCTTTAGTCTTTCTGTGCTCGAGCAAGGCGTCAACAGTGGCTGCTAATGTCTGTAGCAATCGCTGCGGGACCCATTTAGGATCGACAGCTGGGACAAAGGGGTCTTCAGCCGTGACAAAGAGGTGCTGGGGCTCCAGGGGAATGTGAAGGATGTGGGCGTGCAGCATCATTCTGTACGGAGAGTTGTCTGCTCCCAGACTGTAGGTGAAGTCTCCGACTATAGGGTGGCCGATGGCGCTGCAGTGGACCCTCAACTGGTGGGTTCGTCCTGAAACAAATAAAGATGAGAAGCCAGAAAGGACTGAAAACTAACAATTACCTGGATTTGATTTATTGGCGCTTTTGCAAATTGTAACAGCTCTACGCGCCTTTATTCATTCTATATGACTGGTAACAAATGAGTGGTTACCAGTAAGAGGCTGCAGCAGCACTTTGGTGGCAGGATCTCCATCATACAGCCCGTATTCCAACACCGTCAGCTCAGTCTGGCACGGCTTGGGGTTCTCACAACCTGACGGGACAATAATGGAAAAATAAAGCAACATGTCAAGTTCTTGAGGGTTTATAATGATGGACTTTATCACAAGCAAAAATATTTCAAATGAGAAGTCCATCACAGGGACACAGAGACAAACAAGACAAACAACCATTCACTCTCTCCCTCACACAATTTAGAGTTACCAATCAGCCTAACATGCATGTTTTTGGTCTGTGGGAGGAAACCGGAGTACCCGGAGAAAACCCACACATGCACGGAGAGAACATGCAAACTCCACCCAGAATGGCATCTCGGACGGGATTTGATCCGGCGACCTTCTCGTTGAGAGGTGGCAGTTCTACCAACTGCGCCACCGTGCCACCTGAGATTTTCATCTTTTGTCAGTTTAAGGTTATCTCACAAAGTGCAAACCTGGTTCCTGTACCTTCTGTTCCTTCGATGCACATCATGTGTGTTTTCCCCTCGGTGGAGTTCTTGCCAATGGAGAAGTCCAGAGTTTGGGTCTTTTGTTCGACCCACCCTCGAAGCTGCGACACAATACAAATGTAATGAGCTGATCAGGTGCTTGTAATAAACATTTAAAGCAGACTTATTGCACTCAAATTGTAATGGTTTTCTGAGATCCTAAATCAAATGTCCATGACATGTTTTAGGTCAAATACAACAAAAGTTTCACACCTGCCTGAACAGTTCTGTTATTCAGTTATAAATAGTTAACAAGGCTGTGAGAAGTAGGGGCACAGAGAGTGCTGCAGCACCTCTTTGTGGATTCCAGCAGATATGCATGTCCAAATACATAGTTAACGAATTAATGGATGGGGGGATTTTGCACCCTTTATACCAACCCTATTTCCATTTTCTAGTTTTACTAAAAAGTACAACTTTAAATGTTCCTGTGCAAACTGTAGTATTACATTAAGGAAGGGCCTTTTTATTTTCTCTAAAAGGTAATGTTTATGATATTGCTGCACAGTAAAAAAAAAAAATTGAACCATCCCTAATGTATCTTTTTTAAATGGTTTTACACATAATTTTTAGCATTAATGAGAATAATTTGCATTTCTAGGCCCTACATTTTGCTGAGTGACAGAAATTTTGACCTATGTGACTAAAACATTTTATTGCAATGATCTCTGATAGCGAGTGTGTTGAATGCATGGCTCGTGTTCTGTTTTCCCACCAGGGAGAGGTAGGCTTTAGTGACAGTGCGGTCCTTGAAGCAGCGGTAAACCCGGCCAGCAGCAGCTTTGTTGAGGGCGACACAAAGAGCTCCGCTGGTGGAGAAATCCAACTGATGACAGAACCTTGTAAAGAAGAGTAAAGTGATGCAACTACAGCTTTTTATTCAGTCTGTTCCAACAGAGGCATAAAGGTGATTTCCAACCTAAATCCATAATAGGTGCTGGGGTCTGCCAGATGAGGGAAGTGGTGCTGAAGCTGCATCTGCACTGTCTGTTTCACGTACCACAGCTTGCTGTCAATGCGGATGTCCCAGTGTTTGTCCACCACAATAAAGTCGTCACTCTGGTGCAGCACACGAAGGCTGTCGATGCTCGCAGGCTCCGTGCTCATCGTGCACAGATCATCAGGCAGCTTGCACAACCTTTCAGGAGGAGAACATCACTGAGCATTTCAACACAGCTGAGCACTCAAGTCTGAATATGTATGCAATACCACCAGGGGAAAGCTTACAAGTTAACACTTGTATTTTTGATAACCTATTGTTTTGAGTATCAAGTTCAGAGTAATGAAGACTTGGGACAAATTTTATTGTATAAAATGCGATAAATGTGGTGATAATGTTTATTATTCATCATTTATTTTCTCCAAAATTGTTGAGTTTTGTAAAAGGAGCAACTTCTGGTTAGCTTCGACGTTATGTTGGCTAGCTGATGTTTACATGAATTAAAAATATTTAATACGAATATTCTAGATTTGAAAAAAAAAAACAGTAATAAATAGTCTAAGTTATCGCTGTCACTTACTTTTGACTGGCTGACAAAAACCTGAGATAAATTATTCCAAGATTTTTAAACAAAACTCCCCAATCGCGAAGACGACTACTACGCATGCGCATTGCGCAACAATTTCTTCTTCTCCTCTGTAAATTAAGATCATACCGCCAACAACTGGCATGGAGGGCAGTAGCTACAACAACGTTTAAAAAGTTTACAGTACAATATACAGTTTTCCTGATATTATTGTAGTATTCTTACAATGGATACAGTTTGCTGTTTATATTTCCTTTAATCCCCAAAGAAACAACAATTATTTTTAAAAGTACTGTAATGGAATAATTTTGAAAGCTGTATGTATGGTGATTAAATAGAAATAAACTATATATAAACCACTTCACATTAACTAAATATCAGCCACTGCAGTAGCTTGGTTTTATTCTTTTTATTGGTAGGCTGATGGCAGAAAACAAGCTAAACATCGTTAGATTAAAAAGTTGCCCTGTGTGTCGAGACACCCATATTGAAATAAGAACTCATCAACCTGTTGAACACTGTAGTCGAAGCATAATTTTCTGAGGAAGACTGTTTATTTGACTGAGTAGATAAAATGCTTTAAAATGAAGACTACTTCAGGATTTATTTATTTTTTATTTCATCAGATACAAAGCTGAAACTTGGACGTTGTAGAAACAACATAAAATTGATGGTTTAATGAGCAAAGAGATAAACAGAGTTTTCAAAACTGTGCTTAAAAAATGTGGCACCACAAAGGTCTCAAAGTAAATGTATTGCTACTGATGCTGTCAGAAAGAATAAAAAGTTGGCCACCGATAAAGTCAAATTGCTGAGGGACATTTAGTCAAATACTGGACCTGTTTATGCATTTTTACATCTAAATTTAACACAAATTATTGATCTTGTGTTGATTTGTAAATTTACCAGCATTATTTTTTCAATCACAGATATTATTGTAAACACCTTCAACCCTGCATTATTACAAACACACACACAAAAAAGACAGGTCAGCAGTAACTTAGAGCCATAGGGTCGACATAATAAATTAAAAATAAAAGATTTGACAAAGCAGTTAGGGAGGTCATCTGAGGAAAACTAGAAAGATAATCATAAAGCAGAGAAAGATGAAAACTCACAGGGTCTCAACTGGTCTTAAAAGGGTTAAAAATGTTCATCATCGGACAGCAGGGATTATTTGCATTAATATCCATCTGGTTCCTGCATAATCTCTGAGGGGAAAACATAATTTCAAGGTCAAGCTCTAACCTCATGTGGTGTAAAGATGGAAATATTTAATGATGTCTGTCTGGAACAAACGGTTCTGGGAAAAAAAATCCCTTTATCACATCAAGTCAGAGTGTGTTTAAAGGCTCAGACGAGTCAGAATTATTATATAAGTTACATTTCGTATCATGGTCGGCTTCACTTTGAGTTGGTTTGCATCAGGTGTTGTCTCTCTCACTTCTGTTTCCCACCTGTTGTGTAATAATCCAACGTGCGAGGTGCCAGATTGTTGCCTTTATCTGGCCGTGGGCTGACACGTGTGCTCATGAGAGCGTGCACCTGACAGAGCAGCGGCTGTGGAGACCCTAAATGTTGCAGCCAAACAATAGAAAGCAGATGAAGAGGAGAAGGGCTGCAGATCGACTGCTGCTGCAGAGAGATACAGATCAGCTCAGGAGGGATCTACTTTTTCTCTTTATTTTTTAAAAACCCAACAAAAACTGGAGCAAATACTGTTTCAAATTTTTCTTCCTTCCTAATTGAAGAAACACCTGGATGATGTTGCTGATTGTGTGTTTTTGCAAGCTGCTTTGGATGTTTTAAAGGCTTTAACCTTGTTACCTGCGTGATGAAGGTGCCTTTAACGCCTCATGTTCATCCAGGCTTCTCACCCAGTTTAGTTTTTTTTGTGGATTCAGCTGTGTGGATCAACCCTAAAAGCCTCACATCACTTGCACGGTGTCAGTATTTGTTGCTGAATGAGGCTGATTTCTTGGACCATGCCTAACAAGTCGTTCCTGCAGGCTCGCTGCGACGAGCCCATATTCACCTCAGACTGGGGCCTCCCTCTGCTGCTCGCTCTGCTGCTGCTGCTGCTCATCTACTCCTTCCTGTACCTTCCTGCCACCAGCCAGAGAGCCCTGCTGGAGCAGGCTCTGAGCAGCAACAACACCACCGCCGCTGCTGCTGCCATCACTCAGAAATGAGCTGAGCGGATGGATGAAACACGTCATTTATCAGAAGACAAGCAAAACCACATCCAGTCCTGTGGGAACTGTTTGCATCCCTTCTACGAAAGATAAAATGACTATAGCAACAGTTTTTGAGTAAATGATGTCAGTATTCAGTTTGGTGCATTCATGTGTTTTGTATATAGAGTTTTGTTAATATTAAGTCATCACATGAGTTCATCTAATTAATCCATTAGAGTTTTTATGCCCTTAAAGCACAAACAAGGCATTATTATTTTCAAGAGCTGGTCCATCTCTGATTAAATCCTCACCTTCGTGAGGTTTGGTGTATGACGAGATCCTGAAGACAAGCTGCTGATATGAGCTTCCTCCTCAGGCAGGCTGGGAGCTCAGAGTAGAGCCGCTGCTCCTATGCATCAAAAATAATCCGTTGAGGTGGTCTGGGCAGGTCCTTCAAACCCGTTCCACTGAGGGGTTCTGTACCCTCTGTGGTCTGGGGATGATTCAGGATCAACTCAGGAGCTGGAGTCTTGTGGACGTGTGTTCCGCAGCAGAAGAAAATGGATGGATAATTATTGGAATAAAAATATTTGATTGTTTGCCTTTGTGAAAATCAAACCTTTTAACTGGATCGAGTCCTCCCTCTTAAAACTGTTCATTAGGTTTTCGTCAATATTCTCTTTTAGCGTCTTTAATTTAAAAATTTTGAGCTGATTGCTGAAGACTTGTACAGAGTAAAAGACAGTGAATTGTTCAAATAGTGAGGGTTTGGCAGGAGCATCAAAATATTCTAATAGAAATAAGACAGAGGAAATGGGTTTTAAACAAAACTGTTTTTATTCAACTTAAGAGAAACAATCTGACTGGAGAGTTTTCATGATTTAATTTTTAGTCTAGAGTCACTCAGAGGATTGCTTTGAGTCGTCTGGAGCTGAACTGCAGAAAATCAAGCAATGCTTCTGCCTGTCTGCTGTGTTAGCAAAATATGTTGTGAAAAATTGGATGAATGCTATTGAAACTCTTAGAAGACAATCCTTAGAAGTTGAACTGATTCTGAAGTCGACATGGTTCACGATGGCTGCTGCAAGAAATCTATGAACCAACACAAAGTGGCCACAGCTCAGTGGTGTGGTAGTAGCTGAGAGTCCCCCACAACTCATATTCAATTCAATTAAATTCAAAAATACTTTATTTATCCCTAAGGGAAATTAATTGTTGTTATAGCTCATCATCCTGGTTTCATTAAAGACTTGTTATAGGTGCTGTCTGTAGGCGGGAAGGATCTGCAGCAGTCCATTCCACAGCAGATCCGAAGAAAATAGCCGCAGATGCCGATCCGTCCACCTGGACCCAGCAGACCTCTTGGTCCTCTTGGGCAGCAGGACTGCCTGAATGCCGGGCAGAACTCCTCCCTGAGCAATGGCCACTCCTCCCAGCAGCCTGCTGAACACCTCGTCCCCACGGAGGGAACTGCAGGTGTCAAGGGACGATCCTGGTCCTCCTGTTGTCACAAGCCGCGTTTTCTTGCCAACTCCAGGATCTCAGCGGTCAGGCACTCGAGCACCGCCGTCAGGTAGATGGGAATGCATCCATAGCACCTCCTTTTCAACTCATCTGAGATTTGGAGCTGTAGCTGAGGTATTGTTTGAGCTTTTGAGATGTTAATCAGCAGCTCCCAGTTGTCTATGCATCATAACGAATGTCCAAAAGTAAGAAATGGTTTCAGTAAACATCCTTCCAGCTGTTCAGCATCTGATACCAGAGGAAGTAATCATCTGAAAAAAGTGATTTACCTCCAGAAAAAAGAGGAATTAAAGTTTTCAGAAGCAAATTTTCAGAATGAATGTAACAGAGCTACATCATTCAAAGATGATTTAAGTTCAGAACATTCCTTCAGTGAAAAATAGATCTTTTTATTTATTTATTTATTTATTTTTTTAGATCTGATTAGAAAGAAGTCGCCCTACTCTCTTATGCTTTTGTTGTTCAAGAATGCAAACTGGCCATTAAATAAAAAATACAGTATGTCCAAGCTGCACAGAGCGATTAAAACACAATGGTCCTCTCCTTCTTTAGAGCAGATTTTAATGTTAGACCAGAATACAACTGTAAATATGCACCAAATCCACTAAATTAATGACATTTTGAGCCATTAAAGCTAACATTTAATGCTATAAATATTAAAAACTATGCAAGCTTATTGTTGCGTGAAATATGGAAAATGGTGTATTTTAGGACAAGTAAGTGTCTTATATTCAGTTTTATTTTTGTTGTTGTTGTGGGTGTTTTGTTTACAAACATAGATATTTAAATTCTTATCTTTTCTTTTCATAACCACCACAGCATCCCAGTATGTGAATAAATTCTGTTTCTTGAAGTTAGGTCGTTGTGCTTCTTCTTAATGTGTTTTATTATTATTATTATTATTATTATTTATAATGTATAATTCAATAAACAGAATAAAAAATAGAAAAGAGTCCACATTTTTTAAATCATATATGTTTTACGAAACTTACAGTTTTCAGTCTTTAAAAAATGATAAATTATTGCAGCGTTTGGTTTTATTTTACCACGAGAGGAAAATGTCTTTTTTGTTAAAGTGTGAGCTTTTGGTTTTGGTTCTGCAGGACAAAAACTTTGAAATAAAAGCCGCCTCCGAGGCTGTTTGGATGTCCTTTATTAAACAAGACATGACACTAAATGTGACACGGAGATCTCGATTGTTACAAGAGACACAAACGGCTTCTCCAGCTTTCTGAGTCGATAAAGTCATCCCTGTAAATATGTTTCTGCTGGAAGTCGCCGACATCTCAACGTGTGCCCATGAACGTTTCTTTTCTATTTATTTCACATCAAGTCGTAGAATTAAGTTGTAAAAAGAAAAAAAGGAGTCTTGCTATAAACCATGCAGAAGCCAACATTTACAGTTAAACCACCACAACTCACTAAAATGGATTTTTTAAAAGTCATTAAGTTCAACTACAACAGCATACACACACACACACACACCCAAACACACACACACTTTATTTTTAAAAGATTATTTATCTTTCCTTTCATGTGATTAAACTCCAAACTTCCCCTGCCTAAAAGCACAACTTACTGTCCTCAGTTAAACACACACACAAAAAGATTTGGTTCGTTTTTTCAGTATCAAATCCCAAAGAACATACATGCATCTTTGTCTTTTGTTTGTTTGTTTGTTTGTTTACAGTATACACAGTTCAGCTACGGCTGACAATGACTTGAGGAGAGAAAAAAAAACTTTCGATTCAAAGTTACATACATCTATTTAAAGCCAAAGATTTTAGTTTAAGATGAATTTCTATCTTCTCGATCTGCTTCACAGACAGCTTGAGAAGATTTGTTGACACTTTAGTCAAAGAGTATTTTAGTTTTTTAAAGCATTTTTTCCACTTTATCCTTTATTTCACGAGTTGTCCAGGGCCTCAAACAGCTGAAATTGTTTTCAAATGGACCACAGACACAAATTTAGACGTGTTTGAGACAGTGTCAGTGTGTTTTATATATATATATATATATATATATATTTATATATAACCGAACAAGCTTGCACTAAAGCAGACTGATTAGATGCTGCAGGCTTCATCAGCAGCAGCATCTGCAGATTATTGATGCTTTTACGTCAAAAATCACACGGGTCTTCCTGCAACAGCCTGCATGGAAGAGAGCCAGAACCTGCTAATCAACACAGAGATCACTCAGGGTGTAGGTAACATGAAGATAAACAAAGCAGAAGGAGCAGAGGAATAGAAGGGAACCAGAGCTTCCTGGTTTGCTCAAATGATGACGAAGAGGGTGATGAAGGGGAAAGACGGAGACACACTTTTAGTCCCAGTCCTTGCTGACGTTCAGGTTCCACTCCCAGGATAAGTAGACGTTCTTGTCGTCATCAACGAAGCAGGATTTGATCAGATATTGGCCGCGGAGCAAAACGCCTTGAGGTGCCTCCTCAGCCGGGCAGAGAAACTCCTGCTCCTCCGCTCGAGGTCCATAGCTGCCCATCATGTACACAACGCCGTCCTCTGAGGGCACAGATGGAAATGTTCAACAACAAAACCAACACAAGGGACATCGTTTTAACCTCTACTGACAAACAGTACCAGTCATGATTAAAAATCATTTTAATAATTACCAGACATAAACGTCATAAACACTTTCAAAGTGCACATACTTCTTACTCCATTCCTGTAGGTCACGTGGCGATACTTCAAGCCAGAAACTATTTCTCTGTTCACCTGGAATCACACAGAGCAACACTCATCAGGATTTATTTTCTCTTTTACCACTGCAACACTGGTTCTAGTGACATTTTTAAAGTTGTCTCATCTGACACGGAACCAGAGGCAATAGTAGGAAGGTTGGTTTGATTTTTTTTCCTATAATTGAAATAATTTTATTTATAAATCATCTCATGAACTCATCACGACTTATAGTTGTAGGAAGAAAAAAATTAAACATCTATGTATTTGTAAACAAAAAATCCCACAGAAAAAAAACATTATATGGCACAAAAGTTGCCCTCAAGTCCTTATGGTTCTGAACAACTGCAGTTCCGAGCTCCTTCCAGCAGGGGGCCCTGCAGCTCAGCAGAGTTTGATTCTCCCTGAGCTGCTGGTTCCTCCTTTTCTCTTTCTCAGGACCAAGTCTCCCAAACACCACTCTCAGAACACACATTACATCCTCAAACAACTCCAATCTCAAAACTGTCACCATCAGTTTTGCGTCACCCCAATCAAAAAAAGCTCCAGGTTGCAACAGAAGTGCTACAGCTAACTGCTGCTGCTGCTTTTTGCACTTGAAGATAAGCACATAATGCTATATTGTGTACTCTGACAGCGTGTAGAGTAAATGTTTATAAAATATATGTTTAAAGAAAACGACAGTCTGGTCATCTTTGAAGGGATGGTCAGTACTCAGCACACAGAACCTTCACTATACATACACTACATATACTATAGTCTTTGCACTGTAACTGGGGCGTTGTTCAACTGAATACAGCACTGAACAAACAGTCTTATGCAGATAGGGAAAGGTTCACTGCTAGCTAATCTAGCGTTATTTCCCAGTGGTATGTTGTTTTTGAGAAAGAGTTTATATGTCTGAAAAGATGAACAATGGTTCCTCATTTGATTTAGCTAGCCGTTAGCCTAGCCTGAATGAAGACTTTTGCCTCCACACTCTAAGCTCATGACTGATGTCATCTCCAGCCATTTCCAAAATGTTTCAATACATTTGCTGAGGGTCTTAATATGTTTACGTGCTGAAGTCATAAGGTCTTGCTTTTGTGTCTCTAGAATTTTGAACACGTTCGAGAAACTTATGAGACAATTTTTCTCTCAAAATCGTCATAAACTTGTCTCAAATCTTTCTCACTTTAGATTCAACAAGCCTCGAGTCCTGAAGTTGTATTTTTTTTTTTTTGTCAGCATGCACACAAACTTTCAGCAGATTCTGACCCAGACTCTGCTGGTAGTTGTTTAATGTGATTCCAAGTTAAGTAATTTTTCCACCTTTTTGTGTCTCCAGCTCGTGCCCAGCTGCCATGCCACCTTTAGCCTTTCTGAGACCAGCCATTAGCTCTTCATTCTAGTCATTCTCTAGCTTCAAAAAGCTGTCTACAGCAGGTAAGATATGAACCGTTTATAAACTTTTCCACTGGATCCAACTTGAAAAAAAAAGTCTGAATAGATTAAAATAATTGTCTTCAAAGAGAGACTACCTCCTGTCGTCTGTTTGTGTTTGTCTTTTACTGTTGTTCTTTCGGCTGCTCTTGTCTACGTCTCACTCTGGGTGTCCTTCCTGATGCATTCTGGGCTTGATTATATTGTATGAAAAAATATTAAGAGTAAAACGTACTGACAGTGAGAATCATAGCAGCGTTAGGAGAAGTAATGGGAGAATTTATAGACATGCAGGAATGACTGGATCACAGGTGCCATGATCAAACTGTCCTTCCATCTTACCTTGAAGTGTATCTTCAGCCTGTATTTCACTCCTTCCTGTATAGTGAAGGTTTTCTCCTTCAGGGTGCTCAGGTCCCCTGCAGAAAGGCACAATGTTAACTCCATCACTCGTCGTTTGAAGCAAGACGAACCAGAATAATCTGCATGGTCCTAGCTAAATCGATATAAACGAAAATAAAATTCCAAACTTTTAGTGGCTCTTTTTGTGTGCATGTTTCTAATGATTGTAGAAAATAACTAGAAAGTTCCTGGAGAAACTCTGATGGGGACTGCGACGTGGCGACCATGTTTTGATTTGATGGTACTATGTGTTTGGGTTCATGCTCAGCTACCACCACACAATATTTCATCTCAAAATGACAAAATACAAAATTAGTTAAATTAATTTTTTTAAGCTATGGTGCCCATCTTGGATTTTTGATTCGGATTCAGAATATGATGGGGAAAGTTCTCAGCTATAACCACACCAATTTTCAGCATTATGTGTAACAGCAGCTGGGTTAAAGCCATTTAAATTTAACTTTGGTGGCCATCTTGAAGTTTTTAAAATTCATTATTTATTGGGCATTGCTCTCAACTACTACCACACAAAAATTCAGTTTAGCATATCTAAATATGGTTGATTTACCTCTTTTTTCCTTTATAGCTCAGGTGACCATCTTGGAAATTTGATTTGTAACCAGAGTCTATGAAAAATGACTAATAAAAATCGCGTTTTTTGTAAATTACGTCACCATGGTAACTGGAAATGCACATCTCAGTGCCGAGCCGGTCGTTTTGATATAACATTTGTGGGGGTACACATTGTGGTTTGTGCCACATTGATGTTGTAATAAGTAAAATATAAAGTTAAGAAACCTTTGTCAGGTGGATAATAATATGTGGCTGCCTTGCTGGGCACTCCTCAATTATGATTCTTCTTAGTTGTGAGGCTGAGTTGAAAAAGCTACTGAACAAGTGAAAAGCAGCTTAGGCCTTTGTAAAAACACTGAGCATTCAGGAATGCATCCACAGTCTAATCGGGTTATTTGTCAATTTAAAGTCACCCGTGAGTCCTGAGTGCTTCCTAATGGAGAGAGGCAGAGGAGGGGGAGGAGATGATGGACAGATAAAGAATGAAGGCAGAGGGCAGCAGGGATGTAAGGTGAGGATGAAATACTAAACACTTTCTCTTAAAGGGTGCCTTTACTGACTCAACCTGGGCTCAAACCTACAACCTCAGGACACAACAGGCAAGACTTAATTGTTCATAATCTTTTAATCGTGTCTAAAAGAACGTATTTGACGCCATGTTAAAGTCACCTCATTGTGCCTGTTTGTTCAGATTTGTGCTGTGCATTTTCAAGCCTGATGGCAGCAAAGAAACCAAAACAGAAAAGTAAATGATTGAAATATATTTCTGTTCTGTCTGTTTCCGTTTGATTTGATTCAACCCATTTCCCTCTGAGAACCTGAGCCTTGTCTGCAGCTCTGTTCTGATTCTGCTTCGCTTTCTCTCGTCTCCTGAGACGGAGAGGAGGAGGGAAGAGGCTCCTCTGGGAGAGTCAGACTGAGAAATTAGGTCAGTGTGGAAAGCCGTCTACCTGCTCTCCACACACACATGCACGCACACACAAATCCCTTTATGCATGCAAACATGAACAAGTGTGGGCCACCACGTTTTTGTCAGTGGATGCTAACACTTTGCAAATATTGCACAGACAGCAGAAAGGACTAAATATTTTGGGCGAAAGAAGCCGAAAAAAAACATGCTCCATCTTTTTGTGACCTAATTTAAAATGTATGCTACAAACTGATGACAAATCCTTTTTATTTAAGTTGCACAGTAACACAAAAACTAACCAACAGAGCCCATTTTAAAGCTGAATATGAACATTTCAGTGGAGGGTTTGACCCCCTGAACATCCCTTGTTGGACAAATACTGAATGATAATGGGCTGGAGACTGTGGGAGTGGAGTTAACATGAGATGTCTTTGCACAACTCGTTTACCTCACAAACACACGCATTTTTTAAATATGTCAGTAATACCCTTAGATATGAGCATAAGCATGTGTGGTTTTTCATTTTTACTGTCAGTTATGTTATTTAACATATTCACTTTTATTTTGCAGTCAAATAAAACTCAGACAAAGCAACTAGATGGGAGGTCAGAAAACAACATTTTGTACCAATCTTATTTTATTCACAGATTTGAGGTATTTTATTGCCCTGCAACTTCAGTGACGTGATTGTAGCATGTTGTCTGACAAATGTGTCCCACAGACAGCTGTCCAGCAGCTCAGGCATGAAAAAGTACAATACTACACAATACAAAATGATGCAAGGTCATAGGATACAATACTGTACATGACATAAACATGAAATATTCTTTCAAATATTATCATTGGCTTGTTAACGGCCAAAAGGCCAGGTGATCTAGAGTTTCAAGTTTTGTGGCTTGTTTATGATGAATTTGAACATGTATGTTTGTGGGACCATAAAACAAGAGAATAAATGGCTGAAAGTGAAATAAAAGTTTAAAATATATATATATATCTCCAAATGCTAAGCACGGTGATGGAATCATCATGCTCTGGGCTTGTCGTCTTGTTTCATTGTTATAAAAGAGAATGAGTTCAATTAAATGTTGCTGCAACCTGCAAAAAAAAAATAAAAAATCTCCAGGGCCTAAAGGCTAAGGTAGGACAACTTGGATAAAATATTCAAACTTAAAAGAACAACAAATTAACAACTTTTTGTTCACCTGCACTATTATCTGTAAAAAAAAAAATAAATAAATAAATAAAAAAGCCTTTATATGCTGTTAGTGCACAGAAGTAAACCTAATGGTTTGTTTTCAGTTTTTAAAAGCAGCTTGTCCTGAATGCACTGCAATCAATATTTTATTTCTTATAAATGAACCGTAACACTGCACCGTTCCCTCACACAGTCACTGTGACAGCCACTCGGTGGTTTGATGTGTGGCAGACAGTTTGCCGCCTCGGAAGAGGGAGCAGTTATGACCCGAAGGTTCAGGCCGAGTCGCAGCCCTAACAACCTTGCAGAAGTGAAAAGGTCTCTTGTGGGAATAAAGTGTGCACTGTCAGCTTCTCCCTTTCAGCTCAGAGTGCAGCGCAACCATCTCTGTAATGGAGCAACGTGTGTGACCCTGTTCACTACCCTTAAAGTACACGATGTTGCACAGCCGGCGGAGGATAATAATGCATTCAGCCTCTTGTGGAAAGTTCATCTCGCAACCAGAGAGTCCATGACTGCAACACGACACACCAGACACACATCTTTCATTCCAACTAAACGGTTTCCAAAGAAACAGAAAACTTCTCAGGGAGGTCCATAATGGTTAGCAGTACGTCTCTAAGAGCAGCGATAATGTTTGACCTGAGGAATGCTTTGTTCATTCAGTGCAAATGTGTGGTTGAATTCAAAAACAAAAACATTATGAGTTTCAGAATAAAAGAAGAGCTCTCCAGCTGTAAGGCGCAGTGGTGGAACTATCATGCTATGGGCTCAGACTCCTGTTTCAGCTTTAAAAAATGACAACAAATTAAACTAGAGAAACTTTGATGGGGACTGCCACCTGGCGATCATTTTAAAATTTTTGATTTGACAGTACTATGTGTTTGGGTTCACACTCAGCTACCACCACACAAAATTTCAGCACAAAATATCAATGAGTTAAATTTTTTTTTTTTTTCTTTTAAGTGCCCATCTTGGATTTTTGATTTGGATTCAGAATGCGATGGGAGGGTAGCACGGTGGCGCAACTGGTAGAGCTGCTGCCTCTCAGGGAGCAGGTCCTTGGTTCAAACCCCGGTCCGGGAGCCTTTCTGGGTGGAGTTTGCATGTTCTCTCCGTGCATGCGTGGGTTTTCTCCGGGTGCTCCGGTTTCCTCCCACAGTCCAAAAACATGCATGTTAGGCTGATTGGTAACTCTAAATTGTCCCTAGGTGTGAGTGAGAGAGTGAATGGTTGTTTGTCTTGTTTGTCTCTATGTGGCCCTGTGATGGACTTGCGACCCGTCCAGGGTGTACCCCGCCCCTCGCACAGTGATTGCTGGACATGGGCACTAGCGACCCCCGTGACCCAAAATGGAATAAGCGGGTAAAGATAATGGATGGATGGATGAATGCAATGGGAAAAGTTGTCTGCTATAACCACATCAAATTTCAGCTTTATGTGTAACAATAGCTGAGTTAAATCCATTTAATTTTAACTTTGGTGTCCATCTTGAATTTTTTTTTAAATTCAGTATTTATCGGTTATTGCTCTCAGCTACTACCACACCAAAATTCAGCCTAACATCTCTAAAAATGGCTGATTTACTGTATTTTTCCTTTTTAGCTCCAGTGACCATCTTGGATATTTTTGTAACCAGAGTCTATGAAAAACGACTACTAGAAATTGCATCTTTGTAAATTACGTCACCGTGGTAACTGGAAATGCCAATAAAAGTAATAGCACACATCATGGTGCTGAACCGGTCGTTCTGATATGACATTTGTGGGGGTACACGTTGTGGTTCCGGCCACATTAAAGTTGACAGAAATGTAAGATATAAAGTTAAGAAACTTTTTTCAGGTGGATAATAATATGTGGCTGCCTTGCTAGACAGTCCCCAAAAAAATGGAAAATTTTCACAGCAAAAATCACACTGTCTGTTACAGAGCTGAAAATAAAAAGAGGATCCCCTCTTCAACAGTTCTGGCAACTGCATTTCTACCTATCTTTTTTTTTTTTTTTACCAATACAGTTCATGAAGCAAAACATTTAGCTCTTTATTATCTTACATCACCGATGAACGATGTACCTGTCAGGTCCATGGTGATTGGGTCAGGAACGTCTTCACACAGCAGGATCAGTCTGGTCACCGTCACGTTTGGCCCAGAGAGGTCTGAAGGAGAGAAAAATAATCCACATGCAGTTTCACCACATTTTTTTATACCTGTGTGGGCACCGAATGTAATTTTTCTAATAGAAATTTGATGAAATATTTTAAATTGTTCATTAATCTGTGATTGCGCTTGAAGTTTATTACATTAGTTTAGCACACTGAAGCATTTAGGGGACACTAGATTAGGATATAAACTGTAAAAGTAAAGGTTAGGATTTTTTGAAGTGGGGTTAGGTTGAAAGGTGATAAATAATTCATATGTTACCTGTGTTAGATACCTCTTTAAATCACCAGCTTGTGGAGATATTTATTTATTTATATCAAATTGAAATGCTAACGGCTTGTCTGAAAGGAGTTAAGACTGAAGCTGCTGTCTCCAAACCTCTAATCTAACCTTTGACCTGAGGGCACACTCTTCTTCCAGAGGCTTCACGTGCTTGCAACTTGTTTTTATTTCTGGTCTATTTTTAAGACAGACAGGTCTGGCATAGTTACTACAGCGTTTTGGATTGTTTTTGGTGTTTCCGTGTGGTTGAGGACGTTTTTGGAAACATTGATAGACAAGGACAGATTTGAAAATAGAAGCAACAAGTAAATAGATTGTTTTGGATAAGTTGTTTTTATGTGTGCACAAAGCCTTTAACGCTATGTTTCCAAACTGAGGTTGTTCACAGAGCTATCTAAAGCAGGTAAGATATTAACTGTTCATAAAACTTCCGCAGACCTACTTCAAATCTGAACTATTTTTAAAACTATTTCTTCAACACTAAAATTACAAAAAGATGGTGGAAAAGTCAGATGACTGCAAACTGTGCTTTGCATTTTCATTTTGAAATAATTTTTGATGCTCATGTGTACCTGGTTGACCATATTAACAATAGATTATTAAGCCAATAACACTGCAACTATAAAGGTGTTTAATGTAAAAATGATTTTTCTCTGAGTGTAACTCATAAAGAATTGTTGCTTCATGTATTTGACAAGTCGGGATAAATTGACATCTTCTGTTTGACAATAAAGTCCTCGGCTTTTCCAGTCTCAGATTACAGCCAAGTGCTCCTGAGCTGCGGAGGATGGGGTGTTGAATTACAGCACTGAAGCAGTCAGAGCTATTTCACTCATTTGAGCAGCCATAGACCTGTCTGCTGGAACAAAGATGCTGAGACAAGCAACTCTGTTGTTGCTTGCGAGAGCTCTGCAGCAAGTCATTATACTGTAGTGACTGAACAATATCTAAAAGCATACAGACTGTGATCCAAGGCAAACATGCAAGTAGACAAACAGGCAAACCTGCATTCAGTGCATCCGGCCCCAGCAGGGTCTGCTTGTACTTCACCAGACTCTCATCATCTTTGTCCATTTCCTGGATCTCCTGCAGCGACTTCTGAGCCGGAGGATTATAGTTGAGCTTCCTCTCATTGTCCTCCTCTTCGATGGGCAAGTCAATCTTGTCAGTCAGCAGACCTTCAAGGAAAAAAAGGAAAACACCAAATAGAGTTTAAAAATACATTGGCCATCCATTCATCCATTATCTTTTTACCCGCTTCTTCCTTTTCAGGTTGCGGGGATCACTGGTGCCCATGTCCAGAAGTCACTGTGTGAGAGTGGGGGACACCCTGGACAGGTTTAAAGTCCATCAAAGGGACACATAGAGATAAACGAGACAAAAAAAAAAACATTCACTCTCTCCCAGAAGTCTCCACACCATCCAGGACATCCACCACAGCCGGTGTCTGCGTAAAGCACACAGCATCATTAAGGACCACACCCACCCAGCACAAGGACTTTTCTATCTACTACCCTCAGACGATTCAGGAGCTTCCCATCATGCACGAAAAGACTTAAAGACAGCTATTATCCACAAGCTGTCAGATTACCAATCTCTCAATAATAATACTGAACTATTGACAGTAACATTGCACTAAGCCACATCTGTGACAACTAATACTGTATGTTTATTGCTGCTGCACTATGTGGCTGTATCATGTATGTCACTATCGTACCACCATAATTCAATCTCAGTGTTACTCACTACCTGTGTAATAATCTGCCACACAACCTGTGTAGTTTAAGTTAGTTATGACCATATATATACCATGTGCATTTTAGCTTATATTACTACCTTGAAATACTTATTCATACAAATTCAAGTTAAAGTAGATGTTATTGTCATTCGCATCACGTGATACATGAGGTGGAACAAAATTGTGTACACAGGGTCCCATTTGCATACAACAATAACAAAAATATAAACTGTAAAAGAAACAGTCATAAGATCTGAGGTATAAACTAAGAAATACGCTAAACACTAATTCTGCAAAACAATATGCCGTACAACAGCAGCAAGAACATGAGTCTGTGTGAGGAGATGAGCACGAATGAGTACAGCAGCATGAAATAATCAGCAGCATGAGATCAGCAACATGGATAATCAGCAGCACATTTCAACAATCAAAGTGGCAGTAGAGTGATTTTGTTTTGTTTTGTTTTGTTTTTTTCACAGTGATAATCCTGATTAGAGATTCATGCATCTAACAGCTTCAGGGTAGAAGCTGTTCATCAGTCTAGTGGTTCTACACTTAATTCTCCGCAACCTCCTGTTATTCATTCTCCTGTCAAATTCATCCTGATGCACAGTTATATTCTAACATGCTGTTATTTACTATCTCTCTTTAGGACCTTGTAAATATTATTTTTTACTTTTTCACGTTTTGGTACTTTATTTTTGTACCCGTATTGCATGCTTTAGTATTTCTTGTTTATTTGTTCTTTGGTTTTAGCGAGTCAAATTGTTCTTCTCACCCTGAACATTTCATTGTACTGTTAACCTTGTGTTAACCTTATGACAAATAAACATAACTTGAACTTGAACTACACCTAGGGACAATTTAGAGTTATCAATCAGCCTAACGTGCATGTTTTTGGTCTGTGGGAGGAAACCAGAGTACCCGGAGAAAACCCACGCATGCACGGAGAGAACATGCAAACTCCACCCAGAAAGGTCCCGGGCAGGGATTTGAACCGGGATGACCTGATCATCGTAAAGAAATGTTTTACTATCATAATATAATTATTGACCTTGCAACTCAAACAAACTTGTGTGCATTTGTGTGACAGATGTTTGAACAAATACTAGCATTAACACAAGAACAGGACAGATAATTTTAAAAAGATTCATTTTAAACTTAAAATTAACATTTTGTTTATTTATTCATTTATCTGTTTTGCTAGGCTTTCATGTAAAAAGAAAGGAAGGGGGAAAAAATACATGGCCATGCTATAAGTAAATCTCCACTTCCTGTTAAAGTACTAGCTAACAGTAGTTCAAGTTCAAAGTCAAAGTCAGAGTTTCTTTATTTGTCATACCCACCACATGTGGTACATGAGGTGGAATTAAATTATGTACACAGGTTCCCAGTTACATCCAACAAAAGCAAAAATATAAAGTGTAAAAAGAAACAGTATATAAGAATCTAAGATATAAACTAAACACTAATAATGCAAACCAATACGGCATAACAACAGCAACCCAAACATGAGTCCGTGGTGAGTGGATGGGTACGAATGAATACAGCAACATGAGATCAGCAGCATGGACAATCAGCAGCACAGATAAGTCACATATCACCGATTAAAGTGACATTACAGTGACTGGTTTTTTTTTTTCACAGTGATTATCCTGGTTAGAGATTCATGAGTCTAACAGCTTCAGGGTAGAAGCTGTTCCTCAGTCTAGTGGTTCTACACTTAATGCTCCTCAACCTCCTTCCTGAGAGGAGTGGGGCAAAAAGTGTGTGTGCTGGGTGAGTGGGATCCTTCATGATGCAGGTGTCTCTCTTCCTGCATCTGGAGGTGTAGATGTCTGTGATGGCGAGGAGACTGACTCCAACAGACTTCTGTGCAGCCTGCACCACTCTCTTTCTGCAGCTGTGCAGCCTCCATGCCACACGTTGATGCTGGAGCACAGGATGCTCTCCACTGCACACCTGTAGAAGGAGGTGAGGACTGAGCTTCTCAGACCATCTCGTCTCAGCCGTCTGAGGAAGTAGAGTCTCTGATGAGCTTTCTTGATCAGGCTGGTGGTGATGTTGCCCCAGCTGAGGTCATTCCGGTGCACACACAAGTACTTGTAGCTGGAGACCACTTCCACTGCAAATCCTCCTATGTTCGAGGGTGGCGGAGGGATAGGTGTGTTTGTTCCATCTGAAATCCACAATCGTCTCCTTCGTCTTCTTCACATTGATATGAAGGTTGTTCTTCTTGCACCAGCTCTCCAGGTGTTCCACCTCCTGTCTGCAGCTGGACTCATTGTTATTTGTGTGTGATGAATCCAACCACCGCTGTACCATCTGAAAACTTTACAATATGACAGCCTGGATGGGTAGGTGCACAGAGCAGAGGGAACAGGAGAGGTTTCAGCACACAGCCCTGAGTTATGGTGGAGGAAGAGAAGTTGTGGATCCACACAGACTGCGGTCCGTTGGTTAAGATGTCCAGGACCCAGTTGCATATGGAGGGGCTTTGTCCTAGTGTGAGTAGTTTGTCCATCAAGGTCTGGGGAATCATGGTGTTGAAGGCGGACGTGGTTGAAGGCGGACGTGAAATCCACAAAGAGCATCCGGACGTAGGAGTCCTTCTGCTCCAGGTGGGTGAGAGCAGTGTGGACCACAGAGGAGATGACGTCCTCTGTTGATCGATTCTTGTGGTATGCATGCTGGTGAGGGTCCTCGCTGATGTCAATGGTATCTTTGATGTGGGCCATGACCAGTCTTTCGAAGCATTTAACGACTTTTGTGGTGAGGGCTACTGGCTGGTGGTCATTCAGACCAGTCCCTGCAAAGCACTTAGGAACTGGGATGATGGTGGTGGTCTTCAGGCAGGTGGGAACTGTTGCCAGGATGAGGGAGGAGTTATAGATGTTGTCCAGCACCTCGCAGAGCTGATCGGCTCAGTCTTTCAGCACTTTCCACGGGATGTTGTCCAGTTGCTTTGTGAGGATTAATCCTCCTGAAGGTCCTCCTTCGCTCTGTTGAGCTCAGAAGATTATTAGCGCAATAAAGAGGCAGAAAAGGTTAAAAGATTCCCTTTAAACCAAAAGAAAACATGAAAAGAAGCACAATTTTTGTTGTCAGTTGCCTATGCTTCAATTTAAGAGGACAATTCAAGGACAAGAATAAAAAAATATACACAGCTATCCTAAAAACAAATCTTTACTTCCTGTCTATGTACAAGCTAGCACAAGAGGAAGGCAGATATTTGTAAATTGATTCCCTTAAACTTAATGATGAAATAAATAAAATACTATTTTTGTTGTCACTTGCCTATATTTCAATGTAAGCAAACAATACAAAGATGGAGTATAAAAAATAACACTGCTGTGGTGAAAGTAAATCTTCACTTCTTATTATTGCACAAGCTAGCATTAATGAAGTTAGCCACTGCAAGAGGCCTGGAGCATTGCTGAGTCAGTGACGCACAAATGGTATATTTATATTATGTTTATTGATTTTTATTCCATTTCTTGAAAAGTTAAACAGATATTTACTGTAGAAAATCTGTTCTGAAGTTTACCGTTACTGAAGGCATTGTTTTAATTTGGTGATTAATGGCCACCATGACTAAAGTAATGTAGATGCTATAAAACCATTTGAAGCTAAACCAGGCTAAGGGGAAACACCATTTGTCACTGTCAGAACATGGAAATTTTTGAATTGGATTACCTGGAACTGCTGACCACAGACCTTACAGTGAGGTCGTGATTTACATTAAAATTTTACTTTAAATGAACTTTTATAGATAACTCAGGTCTTTTGTGGTGGGGTCCTGTGAAAAGGGTATAAACCAATATTATCTTACCTGCTGTGCATCTTGACAACTCCAATCTCAAAAATTTCACAGCAGTTGATGCAGATGCACTTTTCTAAACCTTTACAACACTTCTTAGTTCTTTTGACAGAAATATTATGATATTTTTCCAGAAGTGTCATTTGTGCTTGCAAATAACCAAATAAACCAGTGTAGGGTTTATGGGGTCTTGTCTTACATGTTGTGTTTTCCCTCGTGTTTGCCTGTCACCCCTCAGCATTTCTCCTCCTGTGTTCCAGCACTGTCGCACCTGTGTCTAATTCTAATCACCGCTCATTTCACCTTGTTAGTGTCTGCATATATTCAGCCCCTTGGTGTCTTGTCAGTGTCTCTGGATTGTCCTTGTCCTAAAGCTTCATGCTCTGTATCCCTGTGCGTCCACCTAAAAGTAAGTTTACTGCCCCGACAGCATTTTGTTTTGTTTATTTAATTAATAAACTCTTCTACTTATTTACTGGAGCCTCATTCCCTTCCTGCACGTGGGTTCGAACACGCAACAGTCAGATCATGATAACCAGAGTGTAACCGTAAGCAGTTGTATGCATGTGCTGTCAGGCCTTCATTACCAGCAATGTCCTCTCAGTGCAGACTGAGACCTT